TTTTGGCTTTTATTATTTATAAGGCAGAGATTCTTAGCTATCTATGAGGAGGTAAATTCAACACCAGGAGGCAGTAATCAAAGTGTAACTTCAAGGTGAACACCAGTAGAACACTATTAGATCGACCTCCGTTTCGAGATAAACCATATGGTTTGGAGCTACCGACGGAATACCAAATATTTTTTTAATAAAAAAACGCTGAAATTTCTCAATAGCTTCAAATCGCTGAGAACCCCAAGCCTGAGCTCAATAACAGACAATGGAAAGACAAAGAGACCAAACTTAAATGGAAGAGGCTGGGAAAGGAAACCAGACCAAACTCTATTAATATCGCGTATAGCTTCGGAGACCCTTTCAAGAAGATGCTATTCATTGATAATCTCGGAGTTAAGGATACACCCAAATACTTATACTGAGATTCTGACTCTATTGGTTTCCCATTAAAAAAAAAATTCATTGGATGCATACCGACCGCCCCGAAAAAAAAAAAACTAGAAATTTGGTTTTATTTAAATTAACAGAAAGATTCCGGATATCACAATAAGCCACCTCTATTGAGAAGTTAGTCAATATTTTTTTCGAGCGTAACAGGATTTGTAGACATGAAAACCACATCGTCTGCGTACATTAACATACTGACTGACGGGAACGCCACCATCAAGGGCGGGTCAGAGGGAAGGTCGTCTAGAAAGAGTCAGAAACAGGAGAGGATTTAACAAACAACCCTGTCTGACACCGGATTCTGCACGAAAAAATCTGAAAATCCATGTTGAAACAAGTCTTTCTCGTGATAGTCAACTATTGTGTCAGCCTTTTAAATGTATTGGACCATTTTTATCTTCACTTTCAGCAGACTACTCATTTTCCTGTTTAACTCCAATTAACGTTACAGTAAAGAGTCAATGCTTAGATTTTTTTTCTAAGTGAAACTTCCTCTACACAAGTAAAAGGTTTTAAATTAATTTTTGAAAATGTCCTTTTTATCTTGAATCAGTTCCCACTTTTATCCAAATCCATTATTGAAAAAACTTAGATTTTGTATTTTCTAAAGTAGCGTTGAACTAAAGATGAACAAAATCTGTCGTGAGAACCTCCGGTTTAACGGAGTTGGCTTTTGGCGTTAAACGTCGAGACGTCCGTTTAAATTATGAGTTGAAACATGAATTGAACGTGTGTATATTATTTGACAATTTCCTGTACAAATTTTTAACTACGTGTTTTGTTTTGTCCTTTTGTTTATAAAATAGTTAAACAACAAAAATGACCCTTGACAACTTGAAGTGTGGGACTACAAAAAGTAGAATTTTACCTTTGGAATTGACGGATTTATTATGTATTTTGAATAAATGGCCGACATTTATGAACCCCACGGCCTAATGATGTCACGACTTTGAGTGTAGATGTGGGAGAAAATGTGTTTTTTCTTGAAATTGAAATTTCAACAAGACAACTGGAAGATTACTGATCTTCCATCGCCGATTAGAAGAACAAAATTAAGATGGTTAGAAGCATGTAATGAATTAAATCAAACGTTGATCAATTTTTATAGAAAGTTTGAACTGATTCAAGTCGCTTTAAACTTTTTGTTCTCCAGCAAATGGTGAGAATGCGCCTTCAAACTCTATCCACGAGCTGCCATGCCATGGGACTTCGTGAAAATAGTTCTAATTCGAAAATTAATTTGGTTGAGCAACAGCGTGAGCGAAGTAAAATAGTTACATAAATAACAAGCTAATTCCAATTAAAACAAAACGAAAAGCTTCCGAAGGACAACGAAACGAAAAGAGGATAGTAGTTGTTCGTGGGGAATAGAGTGAGATTGGAAGTTAATGTGGAATTTTTTGTAGCTGGATTTTACAACTTTATTTAAAAAGGGAACATTTATGCTGTAGATGGTGTAGTTCGAAACATAGAACAGGGCGTTGAAGATGGATCTATGGATTCATGATTGTAAGGTCCAAATTCTGCAGAGATTGGAAGGTTTAGTTGAACCCCCATAGTTCTATGCCGTATGTCCATTTTAGTTTCGGTATTGAGTTGTAAATATTTTTGCGCAAGGAGAGTTTAGAGTTGTTGTATTTCAAATAATCGGTTTCGTCGGTTCAGTGCTATAATTTTGAGTCGTATATGAAGATTCTAGCTGAGTCGTTGATCTAGATACAGCACAGAAATTTTCGATGGGTCAGATTACAATAGATTGGAGGTAGTGTGATGCGACGAAGGATGAAGGTTTTTGGGACTATGTGGGCTTCAGTTTGATTGTCATTTTTGATCCATTGTTCTTTGGAATTTTAGTGTTTCTGGCGGTTTCAGTGAGCTATGACGGAATCGGAGTTAGAGGATAGAATGGCTGTGTCATCAGCGTATGTTAGAATAGTAGTCGGGATGGGAAGGGATATTAGCAGTATTACCGAGCCCAAGAACGATATCCGGAGGGACTCCCGCATTCACCTGTGCAAAGGAGAGGCTCAGAATCATACTCTAAGGTGTCTGTCCACTTGACAGAACTTAAGGATGAGATAGGGTGCACAGGGTAGGATGCTCTTCGGTTTTCAGAGCAAATCCAGGTGCCAGATTCGAGAAATACTTCCGAGCAGCATTCTTTCTTCTCAAGGGAAGGTGATGTCCACAACGTTATGGCACTATTTCACAGTGGTATTCAATTAAGTTTAGAATAATTATTAGATAATTTGTGGTGTACTTGTCTATAAAGGAGTTTTTCAAATAGTCTACCAAGAATTGTCAATAAACTGATGGGACGGTAGGAAATCGGAATATAATGTGGTTTGTTGAGTTTAGGGATTGTGTGAACCATGGAAACTGCCCATTGCGTCAGGAAGTGAATTGTACAGAGAGTTGCATTTTGAAGGGTTGTTAGGGAAACTATAGCTTTTTGGGAGTTGAAGGATTGAAGGGAAATCATATAGAAAAAATATCATTTAATACATTTGCTCAATGAGGGATGAAAATAAGAGCGGAGTTATCTGCAGTTTGACGTACAAAATAATAAACAAAAAGAGAAAGGAAAATAAAGGTAAACATCGGCCTGTGGTATGGAAAAAAGTGTTTACTGCATTTTCTTCTTAAATCTACAAGATTTTTATATATTAGTACAACATCGAAATCAAAATAATAAGAATGAGTGATAAAAAATGAAATTTCTCACAAAAACCTATTATTGAAAGGATAAATTACTGCAAACCACGAGGATAGGCGGACAATCGGAAACGGCCTAACTAGAGAGTAAGACAGTGTTTTAAAAATCAGCTGTTTTTATTCTATTTCATTTGTGTGTTGGTTTGTTGGTAAAATTGACAAAAACGTTTAAAATGAATAGCCACATTTGAGTTGTCGCAGTTGACTTCTGTAAATCAATCAAGAATAAAGTTCCGAATCAGAAATGTCATACATGTAAGGAGCCTTGAGCCTGTATCTTTTGTACGGTTTAATGGCACGCTCCGGTTCAGTTTTTACTTCTTCTTTGGGTTCTTCTTTTGGTTCTTCTTTCGATTCTTCTTTCGGTTCTTCTTTCGGTTCTTCTTTCGGTTCTTCTTTCGGTTCTTCTTTGGGCTGATCTTGCGGATTTGGCGGATCCGTCGCACCTTCAGCCGACTTATCCAGGGAAACGATGGCGCTATAGACGTGGATGCCTTGACCGCCTTGATGAGTAATGGGTTTCTCGCCGTTTGTTAATTTGATTTGTTGTTCAGAGTTTCCTTGGTCATTTAATAAACGCTTTTGGTCGTTTGTTCTTTCAACGCATTTTGCAGAAATCGGCCTGATCGGCCTGCCGTCCGACGGTTGAATATCGACACATATGTCCGTTATGTGACCGAGTTGATTTATGTTCTCGCAATTCCTTTCTCGTTCTCCGTCTACCGGAGACTTGCATCCGGGTTGGGCAGGGGCGGTATTGACGTCCTGTGCAGGCTGACATCCGGGCACACATCCCTCGCCCCAATGGAAGCAGGGCTGATGAGACCAGTTCGGAACGCAGTACTGAGGGGTCGATTGCAGTCTGACTGGTTGGCATTGATGGAACTGTTGGAAAAGACATGTCTCTTGAGGCTTGCTGGCACACTGGTTGTAAGGATAACAGTAATAGTAACAAGGGAAGCAGATATTGTAAGAAGAAGGCGTCTGTTTTGATTGCGGGTAAAACGAGAAGCAACGCAAGTTGCAGCAACGGCATGTGACTGGAACTTTCTCTGTTTCACTCGGGGGATCTTCAATCAATATGTAAGTCATATTGGGGTGGTCGTGGTTCTCTTTTATTTTGTTTTTATCGTAAGTGACACGGAATTCCATAACAGGCACATTAGTAATTAAAGGTTGGGCTTCTTTGTTCTCTTCGTAACGCGGCTGTTTTGTTTTCATGAATTCGGGTACTGTACTATATTTCCCACAACGCAGCATAGCTTCTCTTTGGCGCATTTTGCATATATACTCGTTCAAGCTACTAACCATATCTTCCTGTTCTCTAGCGTTACTGCAGACGTGCCTTCCATACGGTGACACTTCCATGATGCCACAGAAAGACAACTGTAAAACTTATAACTGAAAATGTGGCGTTGTGACAGTTTCGTTTGGTGTTTAATGGTGATCTCGATTTGTAAGATTAACGATCATTTTGTAACCCTGCGTTACACTACGACAAATCGAGGACGTGTCAAGTGTTTGGTACAAATGTAGGAGAACTCGTCAAATGCGTTGCAGTGTAATATGTGATTTTATTTTGTGTCAGTGTCGACTGAAACTGAACCCAGCTGACTGATAATAAAAGAGACTTTTTAACGTTCGAAACCCTCCAATTGGTTCGAAATCCGTTTGGCATGACATGTTGAAAGTACGAAAAGTTGCCAATCTCAAATATCGTCTCAAAAGTATAATGCTCATTCATAAAAATATATATAAAATATAAAATGCATGAATATTAAAAGTTAAAACAATTTCCATATGTCATATGCTACTGTTTTGAAACGGTAATTAACTTAAATATATTAATTTCTTGCATAAGATTCTGTCCATTCCTTAATACATCAGGATGATTGTGTTTCTGTAAATTGATCATTCCCACCCTACTTCGAGCTGCATTACTTTATTGATTGATTATAAACCAAAGAATCATAAAAACTATTTTTCAAATTAACGTTCAACGTAAAGGCAGCTACACTAAATTGACAAGTAAGACGGAGAGAAGTTTTAGTTACGTTTTCATTCTTTTTAAAGCTGTACTTATTTAAGTATAAAGCCTGGCCAATCCTGTTTGTTTTATTAGAATTTTATAACTGTACAATTAACTACATCAAGCAAATATAATGTTAATTTAGAAATATAATTGGCTTGATCGGAGAGGTCACTCAGTATACCTAACCACACACTTGTCTCCAGATATCACTTCGGTCGGTTGAGGTCAGGAAGATTGGGATGACCGGTGACTGAAAATTGTTATATCTCGATTTGATGGCGTGGAAAACAAGAGAAGTAATACTTAAAGGTACGATTGGACGTACAGAAAGGAGCATTTGCAGCTCAACGGTGGGATTTGAACTGGAAGAATTCGATAGGTGTGGGATGCCCATATTTCCAAGCATCAGGCCATGTAGTTTGAATTAACAGTTGTAGATTAATGTGAAGGATAGTTTGGGATGTCTGTCTAAGAATAAACAATAAGATTCGAGAGAGAAGTTTGCGAGGGGGACAATTGACAAGTACAGGATTGCAGTATCATCTGCAAATATGAACAGGGAAGTATTAGGATGATTAGCGATGTCATCAGAACACATTTACAATAGAATTGGACCAAGAGCACTACCTTTCTTAGAGAAAGATATTTTAGTTTAAGAGCAATTATTTCTTCCGCTATAAGCACTGGAATATGAATTCTCAGGGCTCACGGAAGCCCACTCTCAATTTGTATGCTTAATTTATAATTGATAATAAAATCAAAACTTAATGAACCAATTATGTTTCAGACGCACCCGAGTTATATGTTCAAATATGGTGTGAAGGATTTGCACACCGGTGACATCAAAAACCAGTGGGAAGAAAGGGATGGAGACGTCGTTAAGGGCGAATACAGCTTAGTGGAACCAGACGGCTCGATCCGAACTGTGACCTACACCGCCGACGACCACAACGGGTTCAACGCAGAAGTGAAGAAGAGCGGTCCCGCTGTGCATCCTCAGCATACCGAGCTCAGTGTCAAGACGCCTGTCGTAGTCCACCACAGACCAGCGGTCCCACGGCACACGGCACCAATCCATTCGAACTTTAAAAGAGTCAAAGAGAACCAGGAAGTGGTGCAGCAGTCGCTCGACCAGGCGCAAGCCTTCTACCACGCTCAAGCTCTTCAGAAATACGCGGATTGGTTTCACAAAGCGAAGATCCCGGCTCCGGCCCCCGTCGTCCACAACTTCGATTTCTCTTCGCACGTCAATGGCGGCGAACAGTGGCAACCCATCGTCAAGCCCATCATGCAGATCCATGAAGAAGGAATGGTACGCAAACCGGAGAAAATGGCGATAATACCTTTGGCTCCAACATTCCGATACGTACCTGGGATGGCACTTTTGATGAAGCACAGGATGAAGATGCAGGACGATTCCAAAAAAGGACCCGTCCTCTTTCCCGAAACTCCAGACGAAGCAACACCCGCGACCGAAGCCGACGGCACCCCTGTCGAACCCACCTCCAAAACTATGGCCCAGAAACAAGTGAAAAAGCAGCAACCCTTCTTCAACAACGCCGAATACTTCGCCAAGTTTTTCAAATCCCCGGCTTTGCTCAGGAATTCAATCTCATACCTGCCCGGATTCGGTTTTCTGTGACAATCGCGTTGAAAAACAATACCGTCTTGCTCACGTATTCCTGTAAATAACGTATTTATAAGAGATAGATGATCGAAGAATTACCAAAGATTGCAGGTGAATGACAGCTATTCCTTAAACGCAATAAATTCCTCTATTTATCACGGTTGTGTACAGTTTATTTTTATTATTATTTTAAAATTTAAATACAAAGTGCTGCATTCTAAACGTCTTTGATGTTAAATTCAAGTGATGACAAATAATAGGTTAAGCTAGTCGAAGTTTTCTTTAAATATATCTTGTAATTATGAATTATTAAATAGAATTTGTTAATCTATTTGCTATTATTATTCCTGTCCTAATTCTTATAAAATTTCCCTTTGTCCAGCATCAAAAATGAGGGTTGAGTTTATCATGGCGAGGTGGTTTTACAACTTAATCATAACCATTTTTTACTGATATGCTAGTCAAACCAATTAACAACACTACCCCCACTTTTTTGTACTTGTAAAACTTTATTACTAATTAATCTTTCATGCTTGAAAATCAATCTGGTTCATTTCTTAATGCTTAAAATTAAACAGCCCTGAAATTTGTTCACTTTAACTTAAATAACAAAAAATTTTTAACGCTCAAAGTTCAACTGATTAATAAGTATATAATAGGCAATTAACAAAAAAATTAATAAAAGAATCAACAATTAGAACAAATGAAATGTTAGGATTACCATACATTTGAAAACTTTCCGAAAAAGTAGTAAAACTACTTAAATCAATTTGTAAATGTATGTATCCATCCTTTTCACCTATTTAATTGATACATTCTCTCTATCAAAAAAAAAAGTTTAAAAATATATTTCGCTTTGGTTTTTTGACCGCTCTTCATTTCGGAGACGTTACCAAAAATCTGGTAGCAGGCTGACGCCCTATTTGTTTTCTTACAAGCAGCACTTGACTTAAAATTATGGTTTTAAATTGAAACGAATTGACCAGCTTAAAAACGCTTGTTTAAAATATGATAATTCAATAAATAGATTCACAGATTTAGTGTGCAGTGATTGAACAGAAAATGTAAAATATATTTTTTGGGATTTGAAAATATGAAAATTGTCGAGTTATGTCGTTGCAGTGGTCTTGGAGAACGCTTGGACAGTGTGAGGTAAGTAAAGGCATGTAACACCGACTATTATGTCCGAAAAATTGGAATAGTATTTTTTCATGCAGCAAAGGGAAGCTTCGTAGAGGCATGCCAAGATGACACCGTGGAAGTTGCGCTCGGACAGAGTGAAAGTGGACATTATGATGACACTGAGCGCCAGGGAGATATCGATCATCTGAACTTCCAAAGGCCAATCGGCGAGCATGTCGAGGACCACTTGGAGCACCGGGTATAGCAGATGGATCAGGACCAAATTCGGCTGGAGGCCTCCTTCCAAGCACACGTCCGCGCACAGGAACGGTATCGCCAACGTAGTCGATAGCAGCGCTATTTCGTGGTACAGCTGCTGAATGTACGCTGGACACTTGCTGCCTGAAAATGACACCATTAACCAAAGAAATGTAATCTGTGCTTGATCACTTACACTGTACTAGAGTTCCGAAAAGTCCTTTTAAGAGAAACAGCGAGCAACCAGCTTTGCCAAACCCTTTTTGCACCTTACACACGCCGAAGAACGCCGACAGAAATAGAATCAAGTTCGAAGACAAGCGGAACAAAGCATTTCCTTCAAGCCAAGAGGCGGCGCCGTTCTCTCCGGTTTCTGAGTCAAAACTTTGGAAAGATTCTTCGGGTCGTAGATCATCAAAATCGCTGGACCAAACGACATCTTCCATTATTTAGGCTGAATCAAAAATAATAACTGTTTAATTTTGAAAAAATTATGCCATTTACCCATTTATCTAAAACCGTGTGTCTGACATATGATATAAACAGCGTAATTATAAAAATAAACAACACGCTTGGATACTTATTGAATTTTATTTTGGGGGAGAAAAGTGGGACCGATCATATTTTCAATGCAAAATACTTTTTGTTGCATAATGTAAATACAGATACTTTCGATTTTAACATTTGATCAAATTTCCAGCCCTGTCTCAGGAGCATCACTTTGAATCCATGACGATTGTTGACACTTAGAAAATGCAAATAAAATAAAATCTTTAAAAAAATTGTTCTGAAAAATTACTGGAATCAAAAATGGCGCAAGAAAAAGTAAATCCCCCCTAGTTTCAATCACCTATCGCAGAATATTAGAAATGTCAACGATAATCATGGATGCAACTCGGCTTCCTGGAGTTAAATCCGTCAAATATTAAGTCGTCAAACTCGATAAAAGAGTGAAATATTCAAAACATAAAGTGATGATCTGATTAAACGAATTTTGGAGCGAACCCTTGTTCTGAAGCCCGTTCTTGAAAAAAGGTCTTCACTTTACTCTTCAACAAAAGGCTGTTATACCTATCACTTCTCCGACCTATTTGCCAGTGTGCGTCACCATTTCTGAGGTCTGCAAATGACTTACATTAACAATTAAAATGACTTCAAGTCCAACGAAATCGAGTTTTGGGGATTATCACGAATGTTGCATGTTAGGTGGTAACTGTGACTATCCGATCTTTTGATAATGATTTTTGGTTTTTATTGGAGTTTAACTTCGACTGCTCGCTTCATTGCCCACTCATCACCTCGCGAAAATGCTAGCAGTCGCAGCTGCCATGAAGCGGCCCGAGGGTAGGCGAGTGGAGCCCCCGCTAGTTTATTTTATATCTTTCAAATAGGTAAAAAAAGAGAAACTCCAAAAAAATAAAATAAAAACTTCAGCGACTCTCAATTTTTGGTAAGCTTGCTAGAAAAAATAACTTTTACACTACTCCTACGCTTCGTCGAATATTTTACTTTTAATTTGCATTCTGTTTTAATGCACATCTTTGTTTTACAGCTCGACAGGGCTACATATAATTGTCCATGTGTAAATATTGCGTTTTTTGAATTTATAATCAAACCTATTTTCTCTGAGGAGTGGTAGGGTTTGGGGACATGCCCAAGGGGTCCTGGCGTTGCTGGCCCGCTGGGGGCGTCCACGGTCACTCTGGCTAACATGAGCCTCAGGCCTTACAGAGTGTGGACGGCATGGCACACGTGCACACTCTGGGAAAGGGTTTCTGACTTCATGAATATGTTATTACAACTAATTATATTATACTAGTCTTATCAGGATATATTGGGAAGAGAGGGATCGGGATGCCTGCTGCCGGGCTGGGGCGCTTTGGGGTTCCGGAGGTTTCTGATCACGAGCCCATTACTCAGCTCCTCGAAAAATATACATATATGGCCAATCAGCTCAGTACTGCAAGCAAAAAAAAAAAAAATTTCTCAAAAGTATGGACATAATTTTTGTGACATATATGGTCATAGGATGGACTGGGAAATGATGCAACCGTTTCAAAACTAAAGGTATTTCGGTATCTCCTGCTGTAATGAAAACATCCGCCCAGTTTCGCCGATAGTGGTGACGACCAATTCACGATGGTTACCATAACTAGAAATATTCACACTAACATTTAATGAACTTATCATAAAGACCTGAGCCTACAATGAAATTGCAATGTTTTCAATTCGACCAACGTCTCAAATGGAATCTTCTACTAGACGTAACAACGTACTCTCTCGACTGTTAGACAGATGATTCAAACTATCCGTTAATAATAAAAGATTTACTTTCAATTACCTTCTGGACATCTGGCATGGTCTAGCAAACGCACAAAATTTTAGGATGATAGACAAGAGCCAAGTCAGCAGATCGGGAGTAATCAGAAAACATCAATCTAAACCTTCCCTTTGTTCTTCATCTGCCAGCCCATGTGTGTGTGTGTGGGGGGGGGGGGTTCCACGTCTGTCAATACGATCACATCATCCCTTATCGATATTGCAATGATGACAGAAGTCCGTGAGTCGTCTCATTGATGACCTCGGCGTTCTACCACATCCCAGTCCTCTGAAACAGTTTTGAGGCTCTCGTCCACGCTTCACTCGATATCATACACTTTACAATTCCTTGCGAAGCAAGTTTTCAGAAGGATATGGATAAAAACCATTTATAAAATCAGGTACATAACATTTACGGAAAATTCTACCCCCCACATTCCGGGAACCAATCGTCCAGAGCGTTTGGAGAGCTAAACTACTAAATATTCAGTGTACCACTGCAACGCTAAAATCGGTAATCTCCTCCTCGCGTCATACTCAACAAGAAAGTCTTCAATATTCAAAAAATTTACCGCTAAAAAGGAAAAAATAACTTTTGCATAATAACATCTTCACTTTTGCCGACTCAGGGCATGCCACGAGATTAAGAAGAACCGTCATTTCTGCAGGCTTTTCTATAAGCCAGGGTGTATCTTAGGTACAAAGATAAAGATTTTAATCGATCGTAGGATTTGGGTTTGAAGTGAAGTATGGTTCTTAGGATCAAACCAAATTTTGATCTCGACGGTTTCTTTTGATTTCAGCACCCTGTGAATACAGTTTTCCGACGGTTATGCCCAGACGTTCATTCTGCGGGTTAAACATGGGCGTGGCTAGAAAAAACCTCGGACCCCGGAGGTTGTAACTGCTTTCACCGACTTCACACCTTTGCCTTTTCGATGAAGAGGATAAAGAACGGCAATAAAGTAAAAATGTATCCGCCCGGGGGCGCCTGGTCTCTTGCTTTCCGCATGACTAATTATTAATCCTCGAACTGGCTATCGAGGAAATAAGCAATGTTTGCTTTCATACTTAGTTTTATTATGTAAATCGATGTTGAATATGAAATATGAAATTCCCGAAGGATGTGAACTCCGTTCCAAATTTACATTTCTAATGAGAAAGCTTTTGCCGAAAAACGCTTTCATTGTGAGACAATTCTTCCCGGGGTTGGAACAATGGCCATGGATTTAATATGTGAGGACGTATTAACTGTTTTAATTATGTGATAATTTTTCAATAAATCCTACAGTTAAACTTGTTCAATTATCCTTGTGTGTCACCTCATAACTGTTGAATTCATTAAGTTGAAAGCTTCTCGTCTCAGTGAAAGTCAGCCTATCAAATTGTCCATGTCGGACGAGACGATTTATTACAGAATTTAATAATTAATTTGCGGACCTGGAAAAAACTAGTCCTAATTTAAGTTTTTACACGGAAATAAGTCGTTTCACCAAAGTCGGGTATGACAAAACGTCATCTTCGTTTGATTTTAAAAATAGTATAACATAAGGATAAATTTTCACGTAAACATGGTTCTATATAGACAGCAACAAAATGCAAAAGGGCTTAATCCCTTCTACTCCAAATAAAAAATACATTTATAGTAAAACAAAGCATAATAATAAACTACTGAGGAATGCGATTTGGCACGCGATCAGGTAGATCCGAGACGAAGGAGGCTCTACCCATCTGAGCGAGGTTTCGTCTATTCATGACAGATCCTGGGAGGACCCTCTCCATGTGGTCTTATTAAGAATAAACTGACAGGCAAAAAATCCCACCCAATTACAAGAAAATTCTGCTCTTAATTTGTCTCATTGTTTTTACCAATAAATATTTGTGTATGCTATGTTTTAAATTGGAAATATCAATTAGAGGTAAACACACTTAATCCTTAATCTAAAACAAGGATAAAGTATTTTTCAATGTTTACTTTTTACGGAATTTAAAATGTTTATTCAGCTCGTTTGAATTCTGATACAATAAACTGTTTAGTTTTCATCTTTGTTTTGTTAAGTTTTTTTAAGTTCTTTGTTTTCTTTCATCTTTGTTTTTTGTTAATTTTTTTTCTCCTCTGTGTTAATATTGAGATATGTTTAAATTAGTTCTTTTTTTACTTCAGATCAGGTATATAGGCAGGGGGCCTGAAGCCAGTCTTTTAATTTCTTTGTAAATACTGTATATATTTGTTTTCTTAATTTCAATTTTTAAACTTAATGATGCCGCTTAATGCTGAGAATGTTGAGCGTGGCGTGGCACTGGACGTTCCATCAGGTATGCGGCTATTGTCATCTTAGTTCCCTACGAGAACTGCGAGACCGACAGATTTTGCGAAACCGGCACCATACTGTTGTATTCGATTCATCAGCTCCAGGAAGTTCGAGGTGTCCAAATTTCTGAACGCACTGATCGAAGAAGATTAAATCAATATGGACTGATGGTTTTTCGCCACGTAAGAGGTCCAGAATTGACCCGAACACGCAGAGTTGCACGGCTCCCATTTGCTGGAGAACAGAGACATTGGTCTTTGGGCGATTGGTCTGCTGTACTTTTTACAGATGAATGTAGATTTGCTCTACGATATCTAGATGGGCGTGAGAATGTGGGGAAGACGAAATGAAAGGTGTGAAGCTGGTAATTTTTCCCAGAGCCAACCTGTTCAACGTACCTCAGTGATGGTGTGGGCGAGAATTGGAATGGAGAGTCGCACAGAGTTGGTTGTTGTTCGTGGAGTGTCTTTGACGGCCACTCTCTATGTGGATGAAATTTTGGAACATCACGCGTTGTCTATCCTAGATGAAATTAGTGATAATCCTACGCTAATGCATGATAATGGCCGTCCACATGTCGCTTGCATAGTACAAACGTACAGCATAACATCAGGGTCTTAGCCTGGACACCCCGTTCTCCAGACTTGATCCTCATCGAACATTCATGGGATAACCTCAAAAGACGAATCTACGTCCATCACTCCACGATCTTGAAAGGACGTGTGATTATTAAATACGTACAGTAGGGGGAACGATGCTCACGGCAGAGGGGACAGAGTTTTTATATTTCTTCTTCTTGACCTGTGTTATGGGGACAATGCTAGAGAGTGGATTGTTGGTGTGGTGGTTGTTCCTTCCTATTGTCTTTTCCTGTCAAGAGCCTTTTTATAAGTTTCCATTTCACTTTATTACTATTTCATTCTCAAAGTAATAACAGAGAACACCAAATCTTAAGTTTAGTTTGTTTTATTAAATAAAATGAAAAGAGAGGTTTTTTTTAGTTATTTGATTTGATTTTTTTCAGTTCCATTCATTTTTCTCTTCACAGACTCTTCGTGAAGAATGGGCTAACCTCCAACAAACAGACATTTCCATTCTGGTAGAAAGTATGCTGAGGAATCTTCAAGATGTAAATAAGTCAAGAGGAGGAAATACGCGATATTATTAATTAAAAATTAAAACAAATTTCATTTTTTTTTTTTACTTAGCAATTTATATATATATACATAATATTACTTTTTAGACAAAGACTCAATTATTGAACGTTAAAAAACGTGGAACTTTGATTAATATATAACATATATTATACGAATCAAGTTATATGTATATATACAAAAACACCTTTGGGAGCTCCACCAAAGAAATGTTGGAAAAATTAGAAAAACTTATTGAAAGAATGCCACGAGTAGTGCAAGTCGTCTTGAAAAGCAAGAGGGGATTTTTTACGAAAAAAACGTATAGAACGCACACTTTTTTTCTGCGTTATTACTATTAATCTATTGCTGTATATCATTTTATGTACATTTATTTAATAGATATCTTGTCATTTTGTTTGAAATCTTTATTTTCATTCTTTTATTGCAAAAAATTGAGGTGGTCCTAAACTTTTGACCAGCATTGTAAATAGTGTAATAACTTGAAAACGAAGACGAAGAAAAGATTATTTTTCAAGAGAACCAGTTTCAGGAAATGACTTCATAGATAGATGAGGTGATACCGTTTATCACAGTGGCTAACCTTCTTTTGGTATAACCTTACTTATCAAAACAATGTTAAAATAGTCTCGCTTATTCACCGTTTAGGAATGTCACTTCGGCCGAGTTGATATTTTTAAATAAATAAATTTTCGTCGGGCGATAGAAAACGGATTTTAAACGATATGGCCCCAGAAACACCTCTCGAACGAGCTTGCGTTCTTTTTTCCACTTTCGTCTATGACTCTAAGCTGGAAGAACAGTTGACCCGAGCTCCCAGCGTTGGTGATATGGTCGCGCAATTCTATCAACTGATGAGCTTGAGCGGGGTTTTTCCGAAACAGAACCACCCGAGTAAAAAATCAAATAACAATTCGGTGGCGTCCAGGACGAAAGGCAATCGTTATTACTCCGAGAAAGATTACATGAAAGCTCTAGAGTTGTACACACGAGCTGTCGGCGAGGCACAAAACAATAGCGCCGAGCTGGCACTGGCGTACGCAAACAGGTCCGCGGTGACTTTCTGCCTGGAAGAGTACGAAGACTCCATCGTGGATGTTGAGAGGGCTTTGAGCGGCAAGTATCCGCAGATGCTGAGGGTCAAGCTGCTCGAAAGGAAAGGGAGATCCCTCGTCTTTCTCAGATCGTATAGAAAAGCGGTTGCCACTTTTGAGGTAAGCCCTTGCATGTTGAAACTAGACCATGGGTGAACGTTTAATTCTCACAAAAGAATGACAGCTTGTGAGAAAGAAGAGCATTGCTGATTTGTTGATCTGCGATACACTGTGGCGTGAGATCCAGCCGTTTGAAACTCAGTCTTACCAATGCCGCTGCAGAACATGGCCGACATTCACCTTGTTGGATGGTGTTATGAAAATCCTTACAAAACGTTCTATCCCTTCTTACATGTCAAATTTGCAGTTTGGAATAAGTTGAAATGAATTTTGCCTTTATTACGCCTTGTCTATCTCTGAAGCAACATGGAAACGAATATGAAAATTATTTCCTTCAACAAATGAAAAATAATGTGGCGAGATATGCTAAACCTAACTAAAATGTCAGTTTTAAACTTTCTTTCAAATCTTAAGATACTATGAAGAAAAGGTTGACAGACGGAAAGCTTCGAACACACAGAATGGTGTGCACCAGCTGGGTATAATTTTTAAAACATGTGAAACTTTGGTAAAATAATATACAGTGGAGTCTCACTACTCTGAAAGTCCACCTTATCCAAACATGTTTTTATCGATAATGTGGATATTTTTTAGTTCACAAAATATATCTGGGGGACCGCGGTAGCCGAGTGGTTAGCATGAGAGACTCTCACGCCGTGGTCGTGGGTTCGATTCCCACCGTCGCCTCTGACCCTTTTTCCCGATAACCCCCCATTTTGAACACACAAGAATTCGTACTATGGCTAATATGCAAGATCATAAGGCCAATAAAATAAAATAAAAAATAAAAATATATCTAATTTCTTTCTTGTATTTATATAGTATTAATTGTCAGTTGTGGCTTTTCCCACTACTTACTCTACTGCCTTTAGTTTGGTCATTTTGGCTTCCCACCATAATTATTACAAGGCCTTTTTTCTTTTTTTAATTTACAAACAAACAAAAATAATGTGTTTTCACAAAATGGAAAAAAACTCTAAAGAGCATTCAAACCCGTCATACTTTCAAATGGGGGGGAAACTCTAAAGATCATTGATCACATGAGCGTAGATGACATTAATTCTTTACACCATATAAAGCAATATAAAAGTAATAAATTTATCCTGGTTCAAACCACTCAATTCCCTAGACCTTTATACTTTTAATATTAACTGTATTCTCCCTAAACAACCATGAGGTTTTTTTAAATTTTTAGCTTTTGAATCATCTGTTCATTTCACTTATTTGCAACTTGCACCGAATTGGGCCTTAGAATTTAGATATATGTACAAGGGACTTGATCATTAAAAGGTACTGTACCTTTTGAGCCCCCAACCATTCAGTTCCTAAAATCAAACCACACTCACAAAAAAAAAAAAAAAACTGTTTAATGTATTAAAAATACTAAAAATAAATCAAGGTACTGTGCAAATTGCATTCATTTTCATTTTTCTTGAATTTTCTTCATATTCTACTTGTCTTTTATATTCTTTGTCTTTTGGAAGTCTTACATTCTTATTATTAGCCAGATTGGCCTCAAAATGCATCGGCATTAATTAATTTTTTTTTTTTTTTTTGTGAGAGTGTGGTTTGGTTTTAGGAACTGAATGGTTGGGGGGTCAAATTACCTAGCTATTGATAGTCCATAGCCCCAGTTCATCATCGGTGGTTGGACAAACAAGACGGAAGGATGTCTGATCCCCACAGAGGGTGATTCTTGATGTCTGCCAGTAATTTGCAAAAGCTTGAATTGCCGGTGTACTGTAAGAAATGATAGGCTCAGCATTATTTGTATGTGCAGATTTGAGCTTTTATAAATCAGTAATCAGTTGGGTGTGAACTTATCTATGTTAATTACACCCCTCTGAGAATGATTCCTTTGAGCATTGCTCATTGTTGCTCATGCCTGACGGAGGATCTCTTTCATTGACTGAGTGTCCCATTCTTTCAGTTTAAGGTTCTCTTTTTGGGATTTAAGAGTATGTTTGATTACAAAACATTCCTCTGAGTTTAGACCTGGTTGGTTTTTTTAAGAGAACATGTGGATCAGTTTAATTTAATTTTATACTGAGAAGCGCTAATAATATTTAATTTATTTTTGTTTACATTTTATTATTATGTTTGTATGTTCTTAATAGCCTTTATTAGAGTGAATTTCAGCCACATCAATATAGAAGAACTTTTTTTGTGTTTACTACTTTATTTTTTTAATAAAGTTCTTTTTTATTCCTTTATTCACTAAACTGTGTTAAATAGATAAATAAATAATGCATTTAATATAGTAATGTATTAAATATATGTTATTTATGGGCTGACAAACATCAGGCCATCATCACCAGCCTTCTGCAATTTAAACAAAAAATTCTTTTTTCTTTTTTTTACTTCTTCCTCGTTGACTTTTATTTTGTCTCCTGTTTTCTTGACTTGCTAAGCTACAGTTACGTAATTTTTTTTTAAATGATTAGATAATGGAATTTAATTGTTCTGTTAACCGATAAATAATACAGTATAAAACATATTAAACTCATTCCGTAGGTGTAGGTCGTTTTGCAGTAGTTAGACATCAACACCCAATTAGGATGCCAGAGATATTCCGTTTCCCAAAATATTTAAATCTGATTTTGCAAAATCTAAGCAACAAAGAGCCATGAAGAGATAAATTTGGACAGCTACTACCTAATTTCACTAACAATATTCTAAATTGAATTCCAACCATATTGAAATGGGACAAACTTACTTTACACACCATACACCTGAATTTTTAAAATTAAAATTTTAAATTCTTACCCATCTTGCGCAATTGAGTTAAATTCATTAGATAATGACACTGCTAGATCAAACTTCAGACCTATATAGGTACTGTGCAAATTGCATTCATTTTCATTTTTCTTGAATTTTTCTTCATATTCTACTTGTCTTTTATATTCTTTGTCTTTTGTAAATCAATTAGCCAGATTGACCTCAAAATGCATCGGCATTAATTAATTAAAAAAATGGTTGAAGAAGTTCACTAGTGTACAAATTTAAATAATTTTAGGTTACTTTATATCAGCAGGGAGTTGAGAGGACAGCCTTGTTTTTCTCTCCTATTCATCTAAACACTTCGCTTCTTCCCTTCATAGACCAAACTTTAATCTTTATAGGAAATAGAAAGGGCAGTCTTTGAGGAGATGCCCAGGTTGCGGAATTTAAAAATGAGCGAATGCCTATCCAGAGTCAAAAGCAATGGAAAAGTCTTTACAAAAGAAAACCATAGACCTTCATCTTCTTCACATGGAGCATAGTGTAATAAAATAAATGAAAGTGAATATACTGATGGACAAAATAATTGCATTGCCCTTAAATTTTAATGTGTTTGGGTTTAGTCATATTTTGTCAAAAATAAGTTTGGTTGTAAAAATAATACATTTGAAAAAAAATGCTTATTACCTCATTCAAAAAAATTTGAGTAAAGAACAAAAAAATTTTTGTCCCCTTTAATGCCGAGTATTTCCACCTCTGGCACAAATCACCTGGTAAATGCCTTTGCCATCCTCAGAAATTAGTTCTGATAAAATCCTGAAGAATTCTATCCCATTCAACCAGAACAGCCGTTTCAGCTCTTCTAGGTTGTTAGGACCTGAATTTCGTGGTCGTACTCATCGGTTCGTTGCAAATGTCTGTGTTCCATTGGGTTCAAATATGAACTTAGAGCTGGCCATTCCAAGCACTCAATTCCAACCTCACTAGGGTAGTCATCCACAATACGTGCACTATGGGGCCTGGCATTAATCTGCATTAGCAAGAATTTCTTGCTGATCTTCAGTTTCTTGTGCCTAAATGACAGATGACTACTTGTATACCTGGGTTGAAAACTGCCTTCTACAGTGAAGCCCTGTTTATCTGAAGTGCCAAAGAACCCTTTCTATTATAGATGTATTTACACTCAATTCTCCTGGTGACTTCTCGCTGGCTGTATCCTTCTCTAATAATATTATGACCCTGAGACACACTCCCTCAAATCCACCTGATCTGTCATGTTTAAATTCACTCCTTAATAAACCAGCCCTCTTTTTGTGTGTTTCTGCATTATTGCAGTTATTCAGCTAGTCTACAGAGCTTTGTCCAAATTAGTTCGGAATAGTGGGACTTCAATCGACTGATTTAATAATTACAATTAATTGGTCAAGTGGACCACGAAATTAGTGAATTTAAATGATTTAATAATTTTTATTGATGAATCAAGTGTGTACATTTTCTGATACACATCACCTTGGCCATTGTCAATCACCTTGGCGTAATTGTGATGATATGTGGCCAATTATTGTAAACCGTTATTTTACAGTAAAATGTTATTATTTTTTAATGTTCTTTGCCTTGCATTGACAATAAGCTTTGGGTTTATTTATTTTTTTTATTTTTTTCAAGGAAGCATTACAAGCATTGGAGTACAGTAAGATACCAAATAAACAAAGGTCCAATTTCCGCACATCTATTGAACTGGAAATAGCAGAAATCAGGGATAAGTGCGATGATGTGATAAATAGGGTCCCAGCTGTTATGCCAAAGCTGACTCATCCCCCTTCAGACTGTATAGAATGTGCGTCAAACGCTGTAGATATTGATTACATGCCAGGAATGGGGAGAATGGTAGTTGCGGCGACTGATATATATCCTGGTAATTTGTTTTTTAACCCATTGCCAATTATTTAATTATATATTTACAATTTTAACAGGTGATGTTATTGCAATTGAAAGGCCATATGTATCATCCGTCTTGGCTAAGGAGTATCTTCTTTTCTGTTACATGTGCAAAAAGAGGTGCCATTCTTTAATTCCCTGCTTGAATTGCCCTCAGGTAAGAACACTCATTTCCTTAAAACAAAAGGGTTAAAAAAAATCTCATTCATCAATCTCCTGATATGCACTCTTCCTATGATGTCCAAAAGACTCCTTTCAAAACATTTAATACCCATCATTAACGTTAACAAAATAATTCCTTTTGAGCAATTTGGCTTCCATGATCTGACAAGGTTTCAAAGTCATTGACACTATTTCCTCTGATCTATAGACAGTATTGCTTTGGTTTGTACCTGGATGTGGCCCAGCTTTTGATATGGTCTAACACCAATCCTTTTTTTCAAACTTCCTAATGCTTCCTACCACTTCTTACTATTTTATACAACAACAAAAACTCAGATATCATGCCAGTAAAAGCTGGCATCCGACAAGAAATCATTTTTAGTCCCATCCTGTTCATCATTTATACTATTGACTTTCCTATTCATCCCAACACTATCATTACCACCATGATGCCAGTGCACCATAATTCTGTCTCTAACCTGAAGCAACCTCCACATCCAAGAACACGGTTTATTAAAGGCTGGTGCAAACAGTTGAGGCAGAAGAAAAAAACCGTCTTGCCTTCTACCATACATCAACAGCTAGGAACCGACTTCCTCTCAAGTTACTACAGACTATACCTACACAGCAGACTGACATGGAATGTCCACACAAGATTTAACTGACAACTTAACATGAGACTTGGACAACTATGAATTCTTTTGGGACAGCAATATTTTTTGACTGTCAAAATTCAACATTGGATTGGAACTGGAATTAGAGTGGAACTGTAGGTTCAGCTAATCCAACTAAAATCCAGTGCTAAAAATGATAAATGATTAAATCTGTGAACCATCTTTTACGAAAAGAAAATCCAATGCATCCAATTGGACACATTCATAAGTGCTCAGGCAAATTGTCAAAGCTCCTCACCATGTAACTAACTTCACAATCCACAAGGACTTCAGTAGTCATGGGCATAATAACTGCCAACATTGCCTGGTTTCTCTTAACCTCGTCCTCTGGGTGCTGGCGATAGTGTCAGTGTTGTGATCAAGAGGAAAAATTATTTATTTAAAAAAATTATTATATCTTTTCTCCAGGTATTTTTTTGCAATGAAAACTGCCGAAATTCATCGTGGAATGAGAGCCACAGAGTCGAATGTGATATCCTTCTTACGCTTCACAAACAAGGCTATAATAAATTGGCCCTCTTAGCTCTGCACATTTTGTTGAAAATGACGAACCAAGGAGACGGCCTTAGAGAGTATGTATATAACGAACATAAATTGCACAGTGTGAAGTCACCAAAGCTCAGAGGATTCAAAGACGGTAAATACTCATGCAACAAATACTCTACATATCACCTCGAAACGAATTTTGGTTTACGGAGTTGGGACGATGATACTTTCTCAAGGGTGGTCGGGGCGTGTTGCATGCTCCATGTCTTAAAACAAACATCATATTTTGATGCTGTTAAGGAATCGAGGGATGAGAAATTACTTTTCAGACCGAACATGTATCCTGACCTGACCCAAGTAGAATCGATCGTTGGAGCGATATTATTAAAATATCTTTTCATTGTATCTTGCAATGCTCATGAAGTATCTGAAACAAGAATAATAACAAAACCAGAAGTCAGTTCTGAAATTGCTGAGATCGGTGCGGCTTTGTACCCTTTTCTCAGTTTAATCAACCATTCTTGTGATCCTAATGTTGTAAGGACAATTCACGATGGAGACTTGGCCGTTCTGACAGCTATACAATTTATCAAGAACGGTGAACAAGTAAGTCTTTTCACTCCCAATTCCTTATTGAAAAAAGTAAAGTAGTTTTTAATTTATAGGTTTTTGACAACTACGGATATCATCATGGAATCCATGGCGTTGATTTAAGACAAGAATCTCTTGTCAGGCAATATTATTTTGTTTGTAAATGTCGAGCTTGTTTGGAGGACTGGCCCACCGTTAAAAAGCTACCAGAATGTGTATATCTAGAAGGGTAAATGATTACTTTTAATTATTAATTTTATTAATTGATATTAATATTTAAAATATATTTTTTTATAATTTGTCACTATAGTGTTGACAAGGCGGCAGTGGAGGCGGCAACTAAACAATTTCAGAAAGAAGTAACAAAGGTTGTCAACAATAATGAAAACTACGATTTAAAATTTTTATACAATTTTTTGGGTATGCTGCACAATTCAGTGCAAAGGCCTTGTGCACTGTATTGCAAATGTCAAGAAGTAATTAAAGAATGTCTTATCCGCAATGCCAATCATTATGTATTCAAATAAGTATTTTCTTTTTGATGTTGAATTTATAAAAAATTTTACTAACGAATATAGCTCAAGGGAAAGAATCCCAATACTGAGGTTATGTATTCACGTTATTTAATTGGAATTTATATACATATATTTTATTTATATATGTATATGAAACATATGTAACATACTTTTACCAAAAATATAAATATGTATATTTTTCTTATTATTTATTATATCAATTTTAATCCTTAGTTTTCATGATTTAAAGGTTTGTCCCATACTGCCTTCTTAACTAAACAAACATACCATACTAATAATTCTACAGCACTGTCAACTCAAACATGTGCTGTGCTGCAATGTTTTATATAATAAAACAGAAAACTGATTTCTGGTTTATATAAGTTTAACAGTAACATGCATATGCAATACATTGTACAGAGTTGAGCCATCACTTCTAGCAGTGCGCCGGCAATTCCAGCTCTTTTATTTGCAAATACCAGCAGGCCTCAAGAATCACCCGCCTTGGTGTTGACCTGAACCTCCAGCTGCCAAGGTTGGGCTCCAATGCTAACAGCTAGGTCATTTCAGTCCCCACTGAAATCAGGTCCTGAAACCTATTCACTCTCTCTTAAATACACTGACAGGCAAAAAATTCCACCATTGATTTTTTTTTTTTTTTTTTCATTTTCTTGATAAAAGAAAATTCTGCCCTTAATTTGTTTCATTAATTTTTACCCATAAATATTGGTTTATGCTGTTTTAAATTGGGAATATCAATTATAGGTAAACACACTTAATCTTTAACAATTAATTAAGGTATAATCTAAAATGAAACTAATATATTATTTTTGTCATCTTTTCTATTTCCATGGGCCAAATATTTAGGGGGTTGGCTTGATGTGTCCCATCTAGTTGAAACACAACCATTGCAGCCACTAATGCCCCTGCTTTTTTAGGAAAAAGTGTACTTTCCAACGTATGGCTCTTATTTATAGGGATTTCACAATAGACCTATTTAATTTTTTTGATAGGTCCATTCTGATTTTATGGACCTACATTATAAGTTGATGAGTAGGAAGTAAATTGTCTTTTTCAGAAAAGCCAATTTATGACAGACTACTCGCCACGTTCAGTCGTCCAGACATCCATTTTGAACTATAAGTATGTAAAAACTCGTCAAAGTACTTTATTTAAAAAACAGTCACTGAAGATGGTCTATATTATACTGAAACACGTCTGACAAATAAATGCCTATTGTGGAAAAGACAATTTACTTCCTACTTTTCAACAATGGAGAAAAAGTTTTATTTGACGCCCATCAAAAAAAGTTAATTTTTTGGGCAATAATTGATCAAACTGTGCTATTGCCTTCTTGACAACATTCTTTATTGGTCTCCCTCCCACATTAAATAATTCCAAAAATCCATAAAGTATACTTTCATATGGGCAGATAAATTATACAGTATTACCAGAATAAAAAAAAAATAAAAATGTATGAGACAATGAAATTTTAGAAAACATAATCAAGGAAAACATTCTATTGGTCTCCCTCCCACATTAAATAATTCCAAAAATCTAAAGTATACTTTCATATGGGCAGATAAATTATACAGTATTACCAGAATAAAAAAAATGTATGAGACAATGAAATTTTAGAAAACAATCAAGGAAAACATTCTATTGGTTTTTTGGTAAGTATTTCAAGATAAGTATTTTTCTTTGACATAATTTCTTCCCTGAGGTTTTCAATTTTCAACTTTAATTCGTCATCGCTTAGATTTTCCAAGTGCTCATTTTTTATTTGGTCCAAGACTGTTTTTATTACAGCTTCACCGTCTTGGACAATTTTCCTTTTTTTGACATCATCTTCTGATTTGATCAAGCTCTGAAAATCTTCCAATTCAGAAAGTTTCCTCTTAGCGTCCTACGAAAAGAATTTTAAGTTGAATTAAAATTCATAGTTCTTATAACACACACACATACATTAATAACTCGTGGAGGGATTTTGGCCATGTTGGCGACGTGTATGCCAAAACTTTGATCGCAAGCTCCTTGTTTTACTTGATACAAAAGCGTCAGAGAATCTTCTGACGTCACTGCCGTAACGTGCAGATTTTCAACTTCTTTTATTTCATCAGACAGCCTTGTAAGCTCGTGGAAGTGAGTTGCGAACAGGCAGAACGGCTTTACCTCTTTGGCGAGAAATTCAGCAATGGCCCATGCTATACCGCATCCTTCGTAAGTAGATGTTCCTCGACCCAGTTCATCAATAATAACAAGAGAATTACCAGTTGCCATCTAACAAAAACAACTACCATAAAAAATTGTATAATTTAATATTAATTAATATTAAAGATAAAATGACCAACATAAAATTAATTAATTGGACTAAACTACCAAATGGAGCAATAATAAACAACAACTGGATTATTTTTGTTTTTTAATCTATAGCTTGTTTTTAAACTGTCCCACATTTGAACTTTTAATTGGAGTGTATTGGAAGAAAATAAAGCATGATCTGTCTGAGGTGTTTTTTTCTCTCTTTAATCCACAGATATTTTTCTCAGAAATTCTAATCCAAATTAATTACACTGTAAACTGAAAATTTAAAGTTTAATTTAAGGATTAAACATTACACATAGTTTTGTCTATTTGATTTGCTTATTGGGGAGGGTTGCTTATTGAAAAAGGAATTAAAAACTCATTTGCTGCAAGTAAATCGTCAAAAACATTGTAAATTAATTTATTTCTCACCTTAAGGATGCTCGCGGCCTCCACCATTTCAACCATAAAAGTAGACATTCCTTTAAACTGAGAATCACTGGCTCCAACACGAGCTAGGATGGCATCGAGAATAGAAATTTCAGCCTCATCACAAGGGACAAAACTGCCAATGTGTGCCAATAAAGCTGCAACCCCTATGCTTCTTATATATGTACTTTTACCACCCATATTCGGGCCGGTGATTATGTAAAATAGTGAACTGTCTAAAAATATACATTGTATATAATTTAAAAAAATCATTGGCATCACTGCAAAGGCCACGGTTTAAATACAAGCGCTCTAAATTTGAAACCAACATAGAATGTAGTGTTAAATTTGAATTACCTTTGTTGAAATTTGCATCATTTGCAATGAAGGACATGTTATCTAGCATTTCAAGACAAGGATGCCGGACTTGCGACATATTAAGAATCCCTGAACCAGCCGGTTTCATGACAGGCCTCACATACGGTTTTGGGGCACAGGCTGCCACAACGGCAAAACTGCATAAAACATCAAGCTGAGCAAGTGTAAAGCTCAGTTTATTAATCGTTGAGGCATAACCAACTAAAAAATACAAAGAATTTATTAATTTATCAAGTTGTAAAATAAGTCTGTATAGATTTAAAATGGGTAAATTTAAAAATGAAAATTGAATTTTAGGAGAGAATCAAAGATGGAGATGTGGTGCAATAAATTCTTCTAAGTGAGAAGAATCCGTTTATGCCTCTAACAAACATAAATTGCTCTTATATGCGTTAATTTGCTGTCTCGTGTTATTGAGGTGGGTTATGTGATAAAACTTAAATTTAGGCATCATTTAAGACCAGATTCACATACGATTACATCTTGTATTTCTAATTCTGATCACAATGAAATCAAGACAGAAAGTCAAATCATGGAAAGGACATTCTTTGTTTTACAATATTCTTATTTTGCACAAAATTGCGTTTTAGTGTTATCGCATGCAAATACACATTTTTACAGTTCATGGCATAAAATTGTACTTTTCCCCATTTTTTTATGTTTATTACTTTTCATCTAACTAGAAAATATGTCATTTTTATGGAGAAAATGAATTGACGATAAAATCTTTTTTGTAATAGAAATGATACTATGTAGGAAGGATAGTTCCTACAACTTACTGTGAGTAGGAACTATCCTTTTAAAAAGTATCTTTTTTGTAATGTAAAGTCTTTCTTCATCTACAGAGGACTTTTCATTGGAAGGATTCGATGTGCTGGATGTTAAATGGCTTGGCAGAACCACTATTCCACTCCATATATCCCAAGTGGTTGCAGTGAAGTCTTATGTAAGATTTGTTTAGTTTTGATGGCCAATGTAAATTTTGGTCCTAGAAGTGTTCATAGTTGTACAAGTTTTCTGTTTAGTTGTCTTATGTCTGTCAGCTGTCTAGGTACTGTCCTAAGTATTTGACATGAATGGAAGTTGGTATCTCTTTGTTGATGTACAATGGAGAGCAAGTCTGTTTTCTCAATGTGCATGGTCCATGAACACATTTTTCTTCATTCAGTCTTGTCCTCCACTTTTTGCACCAGTCTTTAATAAGCTCAAAGTGTTCTTGGATGTTGGAAGTAGCTTGGATTCAAGGTAGAGGACAAAATTGTGGTATCATCCACGTAGGTGGTGAAGACAGTGTATAGGTAGGTCAGCAGTATAAATAATATAAAAGATCCCTATCCCTAAGTTCGTAGATCCGAAAGTTCAAAAGTGGTAGCTACAGGACTACCAGGAATCAAAAACCAATGGTAAAATTATTTTAAAGAAAAAACTTGGTGTTTTCTATGGTAAAACACCTTATGGATGATAGGAGGTATAATCTGAGAGATAATAAATAAATACAATAAAATAACATAGTGGTGTTAACTTACAATGAAAAAATTTATTTACTTTACTGCTATTAATTTTTTACTATTTAAAGTTGATTGTGTATTAATTTGTTTATTGCTATTTGTTTTTATAAAAAGTTTATAAACTTTAAAGCTTGCAGATGTAAATGTGTGGTGTTTAGTGAGCGTTAGTTAGAGATTATTTGAAGATCGTGAGATGCAGTCTGCTGTGATGAGGTTTTAAAAAAACATTTTCTTTATCGAGCCAACGTTTCGATCTTTATTGAGATCATCTTCAGGGCCTGGGATTTATAAACTTGTTTAAATTTTTTTCATATCCTACAAGTACTTATAAAATTTAAGCAATGTTTATAAATCCCAGGCCATGTAGATGTTCTCAATAAAGATCGAAGCGTTGACACAATAAAGAAAATGTTTTTCTAAAACCTATGTCACACCAGACCGCATCTCAATCTCCAAATAATCTTTAAAACTTGCTTTATTGGTGTTGGTATAGTACGGTATGGTATAGTGGAAAAGGATACTAGGAAGCGGGGTTTGTATTCCCCAGGCACTGCAGCCTTCTGGCTTATTGTACCTTCCTAGTTCCTTAGTTCAGTGCAATAGACACGATCCTTCTCCTTAGAAGTATCAGGTCATTACTGTTGCTGCTGCAGTTTGATTCCCTAAGTATTTTCCGTACGTTAGGTTAAACCTCCATTGAGCTATTGCTTCGCATTCGAAGATGATATGGGTGGCTGTTTCCTCCTCCTCATTACATAATCTGCAAATGGGATCATCGCTGTTGTGTAGATGTTTTCTCAGATACCAGTGACCGGTTAGTAGTCCTACCACTCCTCTGAGTTTGGCTCTCTCTCCAATTGCAGCAGTGTTTTTGCCAGTCTCGGTGAGGGTTGTTTACTATGTCTAGCACTGCTAGAGATATCCACTTCTCCTTTTGTTTTGCTTGGATCCATTCTGCGATGGAGGATTCTATATTTGTTTTTGTTATCCCAAGAATAGGTTCAGGGCCTATGTATGGTCTTGCAGATCCTCCTCTGGCCAGTCTGTCTGCTTTCTCTTCACCCAAAATTCCCCTGTGCCCTGGCACCCAAGATATCATCAGGTTGTTGTATTTCCACAGGTTTTGGAGATTTTGGATGCATTCACTGACTAGTTTTGATGTGATTCTTTTACATGCTAATGCTTTAATAGCTACTTGGCTGTCAGATCTTATGAGGATTTTTTGTCAGTGTAATCTCTTTTAAGAGTTTCCAATGAGTTTCAATCCAACATTGATCGCATGTATTTCCGCTTGAAAGACCGAAGTGTACTTTCCTAATGAGTTTGATTGCTCATGTTTTGGGCTTGTACAGAAAACGCCTGGTCCGGTTCCTTCATTTGTTTTGGAGCCATCTGTGTGCCATATCATTGTATCTGATGCTCTCCTGTGTTTTCCTCTCCTTTATAATCCGTTGAGACTTTATAGGAAGTTGTGAAGATTGTTTCCGGGATCATGTAGTCAGTCCCCATTTCTAATAATGGGTGTCTGATGTTGATTATGGTCATATGCCCGAATTGTTTAGTTCCTTTCCGATTTGTTTCTGGTTCCTCTAAATGAGCTTTTCCTAGCCTCTCCTTGTATGAATATTTCCAGTGGGGGTAGGTTTAGCAAAGTTTCTAATGCATTTGTAGTAGTAGTATATTTTTCAATTTAATTGGATATTTGTATATATTGAGTTTGAATAATGAGTATAATTAATTGTTTATAAAATATATAAAATAAACAATAACGATAATTAATTAAAAGTCACCTTATGTCACCTTTACCTTAAAGTGATGAGCCAAGCACCATGTCAACGCCTAAACTATTGCGGCCAACAACACTCGTTTTTTACTATTTAAATGAGAGTTTATGACCTTTATTACACTATTTTGCAAGTTTTGAGGTTTTTAATGCATGTTTTTTATGTTTTACTGCATGAAAATCTGGTCCTTTGTATAAAAAAAATCTTACAAAAATGCATTATTTTTTTTCAATTTTCAATTTGCAAAATACCACATTAAAATACGAGATCTTGAACAAAACTAATTACAAACACCTTAAATCCGTTTTCAGAGTGTGTAAACTAACGACTAAATAAACATTGATTCCAAACACAAGGGGGAGAAAATTGAATTATTGAAAAATGCTACAGACTGATTTTACAAGCCAATTTTAAATTTTAGGTATAAAATATACCTACCTGCAGTTGAAATGATTCCATCTACTACGACCTGCTGATGTTCTTCATAATCATTTCTCAAAGTTAGGTATTCATCGTTCATTTCCCCAAGTCTTGCATTTCTGAATCTAACACCGTTTTTGTTTGTGTCGAGCACGCTGTATGCGGATTTCTTTCTTAATGCTTTTTCATCCTAAAATTTTTGCGATTTAAATCATTTTGAAATTAAACCCTTGGACTTTGTGCTCACCTTTAAAGTTATGCGAAAGAAGTAACCATATTGATTGTTCGACTCAAGTTTTACCGCTTTTGCATCTAAAGACAGATCCTGTGCGACTTTGTTCATCTCCTCCTTCAATTTCTTTTCCAACTTGGTTATCTGACTGTGTAAAGCTGAAAAACATGTTCGCAAAAATTATGAAGCAATCATGAGAAACAAATTTTTGACAAATAATGCAGTCCAAAACAGAAGTCAAAGTTTACCTTCTAAATTGTCATCGAATTCAGGTTTTACTAAAAATTCTCCCCTATCAACGAGGTTCAAATCTATCGTTGTGACAATCATTTCTTTATACATTTCCATATCAGCATTATATTCTTCAAAAGGTGAGACAATCATGTCTCTCAATGTGTGGTAATTTTTATTTTCTTTGTATTCTTTGAGCAAACTTATGAGGGGAGGTACCCTTTCGACAGCCTGGTAAATCCTTGGAACAGACTGTTAATATGTAGATTTTGTAAAACTAATTTTTGCCGTACTGAGCTTACAAACGCTCTGAATCAAGGTCTGGTCTTGAAGAAGAAAGCAAATTTAGTTGCTATCACCAAGTTTTCGACTTACTTTAAAGTCATCATCAGTGCAAAACTACCTTAAATATGTCTACAGTTTGACATATTTAAGTTTAAACAGGCAATCTCAAATTTCCTTGAAGACCAACTCAGTCCCAACATTCCCTGATAATGACTCTAAATAGGTCAAAAGCATTAGCAACTAAATTTGCTTTCTTCCTCAAGACCGTACCTTGATCCAGTGTTCGTAAGTGAAAAAGTGGTCAATACTTCTAATACTGTACTGAGCTTACCTGTAGCAATCTTGCATTGTGGCCTTTTTCCGGGCCAGTTTTTTAGAAAGGGCCTGCAAATCTGGAAACTTTTTGAGATGGTCTTCATAAAGTGCTTGTCTCAAAACCGTATCGTTAACAAGAAATTCGACGATGTCATGCCGATCGGATATAATATTGATGTCTCTCAGCGGCTGTTTTATCCATTGTTGAAGAAGCCTTTTTAAAAAATTGGCAAAATAATTTTTAATTGTTTATATACAGGGTGTCCTAGTTCCTTCTGACGAAACTCAGGGAATCGATTCTACTCATCATTTGGAGCAAAAAATGCTCAGGAGAAAATTTTCATTAAGTTCTCTATTTTGAAGATATTCGTCAATTTAGGTTTTTTCAACTTTTCACTACCTTACCACATAAAAATGCTTACAACTTCCAAAATCTTGAGACTACAACAAATCCAATTACACCATTTGACGTAAAATGTTAGCCAATATCAGTTGGAACATGTCAAAATTACAAAATTTAAAATTTTGGTCATGATTGCACATTCTACTGAGGTTACAAAAAAATACCTATAACTTGTCAAATTTCACAAAAACTTCATCTAATATGCTTTACATTGATATATCCAGGTTTTTAAATAACGTTCTAGTAGAGTTGAAAAATCAACGTAAAGCATATTAGACCTCAGTAGAACGTGCAATCATGACCAAAATTTTAAATTTTGTAATTGGGACATGTTCCAATTGATATTGGATAACGTTTTATGTCATTCAGATTATTGCAAATAGAAGTATCTTACAGCAAATTTAGCGTTCTTTCAAATGGTGTAATTGGATTTGTTGTAGTCTCAACATTTTGGAAGTTGTAAGCGTTTTTATGTGGTAAGGTAGTGAAAAGTTGAAAAAACCTAAATTGACGAATATCTTCAAAATAGAGAACTTTCCGAAAATTTTCACCTGAGCATTTTTTGCTCCAAACGAAGAGTATCGATTCCCTGAGTTTCGTCAGAAGGAACTGGGACACCCTGTATGTGTTTGTATATTTTTCACTTGGAACAGACCTATGACCATGTGTGGTCCTACATTTATCTAACAGTGAAGTTATGCTGAAGTTATTTGATGGAGTTGATTCATTTCCCAAAATGCTCAAAGCATACACTGCAGCTGAATCGAGATGAACAAACCTTCCGTGATCCAATGTATTAATATCAAACTTTCCAAAGTTATCCTCATCAGCACATAGCTAAACAATATCAGCAATTGTATTTATATTAATAGTTTTAAAAAAAAGGTAATTTTTGGTACCTCTAAATATTTTAAGCCTGCAGCCAAGGCAGACATAGCATTCGAAAATTCCATTTGAGGAATTACGTTAGCGCTCTGCTGTTGACCTTCATTGAACTTGATAAGTCTGTTTAAGTCCTGTACCAGACCGTCAGAGTTGAAATCAGATTTTTTCCTCATTGTAACAAGCACCCCACAACGTTCAGCAATCTTTAAACAATTATTCAGTTAATGAAACAAATTTTTAAAAAAGTGGGTAAATCAAATACCTTCTTTAAAGCAGCTGCTTCGGGTGTAGATTCATTCGGTATTATACATTCTTTCGGGCCAAACTGAATGATAACGCCCTCCATATTAGCAAAATGTTCATCATCAGGAATCTCAGCAACCAAAAATTGACTTTCAATAATGTCAATTAAAGCAATTCCTGTTACCTAAACCCCAACATAAAATTAAAATAATATTAATCATTCATTTTTAAGGAAAACTTCTTTTTAAACAACAATTATTTATTTAAAAAAAAAACATTTTATACTTTATAGAGTATTTATATTCAAAGAAGTCATGGACATTGCCTTTTTTCTTCTTTTTTTTAAACTATATTATAGTTAAAAAATTTTATAAGCTAAAGATGAATAATATTTTTAATATTAATTGTAAAATCAATACAAATGGTATTATTGTTTTATTAGTGCATTAGAACTCACTTTATTCTTAGGATCATATTTAAGAGAAATGGTAGAATTTCCCTCAAGTTGATCAACTCCAGAGAAAAGTATCTCTTCGAACTGGTTGAGATTTCCTGGTGAACCCTGAAAAATGAAAAGTATTAAGTATGTTAAGCATTTTAGGAATAAAACTAATTTTTAAAAAACGTGGGCAACTTTGTATTCGAGGGTCCAGCTGTTCGGATTTTTATTCCCCTTGTTTGTGTACACCTCGACTTTGTACTGCTTGACCAAAAGTAAATCCCTGATCAGACTTTCAAATTGGGACTTGTTGAGAATCAAAGAATCCAGTGAGTCACTATCTGTAAAATATGGTGCTGGATTAATTGTAATTTTGAACTTGTTTGTTTCTTGAGAGAAAAATGTCAATTCGTACCAGAACCGATAGTTTTAATAAAGGCTTCTGTTCTAAATACTTCTTTAGCTGCAAATTTAGCATCGTTCCCATGCACTGTGTAGTAGTCAGTCCGATTAAAAAACCTAATAGTCGTGGATGGTTTCTATATAAAACATTCATTATAATGAATTAAAAATCAAGAATAAATATTAATGAATGAATAATTCATTTTTATGTTAAAATTCGATGGTTTAGGGTTTAATTATTTTGTAAAACTTTTTTAACACCAATTCCATCAATTTGTTTTTCATTATGTTAAAGTCAAATAAAATTTATTTTGGGATTGAGTGCAAAATTGTCCTAGAATAGATCTAAAAACATTACAATTCTCTGAAGAGCAATTATAAAAAAATTCTGATAATCCGATAATATAATGTTTACTGTAACTGGAACATTATTTAATCGATGACCTTAGATATTAACAGTTCCTAAAACCCCAGATAGCGTACAGAATTATCAGGATTAAAATTCATAAAAAAATAGTACGCAGAAGAATATAGGGCAAAACGTCTAGTTCTGAGGTAGATCAAAAGGATGTACATATTGAAAATTCAATTTCTAAACGTCCAATAATTTGCAGAATGTTTTCAATCTACAGCGTATTACTTGTGCAAATATGCACTTGCCTCATAACAACAAGTTCCGAAAGCACTAGTGCTATTTATCACAACACAGACGGTAAGATAAACATAAGTTGTTACATTACTATATTAATTGGCCATATTTCAAGTTATTTCAATTTGATGTGTGTACTTAATACTATATTGCAATAACAAGTTTATTGCATCTCATTTAATTCTGAACTAACCTTAGCCAACTGAACCAATCATTTGATTTGAATGATGCTTTTACTCCTTCTCAATACATTTTAAATGAGCCTCAACAACCACAAAACAGTTACTTCGTTCAAAATGTGCTTGAAAAAGATTAAAAGTGCTTGAAACCAAATAATACCTTTTCCTAACATTGGAAAAGTTTAATTTTAAAAAATCACCCAAACCAAATGAAGAGAGCTCCAACAAAAAGAAAAAAAGGAGAAATTTTCTGTGGCGTCGTATGTGTTGAGGAAGTCATAATTTTTGGAGGTGGAAAGGGATCAGAAATGCAATAGGTGACAGTGGTAATTGAACCACAAATGCAGGGTCTATGTGCTAAGATTCTGGCACATGAAGCTAGTCACATGAAAATTTTCATTATATGTATAATCTCAATTGTCTTTTGATGCTTATAAGTATATAGGTAATTAGTAATCAAGGGAGGGGGGGAAGTAATTCCTGTCATTCAGGAAGTCTTAACATCCAACTACCCAACGGGTGTTGAAGATGAAAGGTCACATCACTTATAATACATTTTTCATACTATTATCAATTAAAAAGTTACTGACTCGCCAGGATTCGAATCCAGAACCAGTGTGGCAAATACGAGTCAGACACCCTCACCATTCGGCCACACGGTCCCATACAAGAAATATAGAAATATTTCTTGACTTCTTACTGAACTATATAAATTTGCTAATTGTAACAACAAAAAATGATTGTATCACTGGTTAAATTGTTACCACACATAGTTAATTATCTAACTTTTAAGGTAAGAAAATCATACATCCAAACAAATAAGGCTGTATATGAATTTCATTAAAACTAAATATTTTATGTCTAATTTAAAACTCCTATTGAAATATGTACATTCATATGAATAGAAAAAATTCAAAGCCATAGAAATGTTAATCTAACACATAATCATGAATTCTTGTGGTTTTTGCAGCACACGATTTTTTGAGGGCAGCATGGCGTCTATATGATAAGGACTTTCTATACGATGAAAATGTTGACACAAGCCCTTCTGAAATGAGTAAGTTTTCATTGAAAAACTTTTTTTTCTTTATGGCCTTATTTTCAAATATTAACCAAACAGACGACATAATTCAGAGAATGCGATGTTTAAATGTATTCTTGGGGTAGGCTATAGTGAAAAAATGTACCAGGGCAATGGTGGGAATTGAACCTATGACTGTGGGGTTTACGAGTTGAGTCATGGTGACCACTCAGCTACCATATATTAAACAACCTAATCAAAACATACTCCGTTGTTACTTCTTATAGCAAGAAGGAATACTGCAATGTTTTTATATTGCAGAGGGTTGGTGGCTTGATGGGATTAGGCATGAAAATGAGGATGAGGTGCCACTACATAAAGAGAAAAATGAAGACTTCGAAGAAAACCCTATCACATTAAGTATGTTTTCATTGTAGATAAAAATTACTTATTATATCAATAACAAATACTACTGTTTTCATGTCATAGGGGATTTAATTGGTGGTTCTAGACATGAAAATGAGGATGAGGTGCCACTACAAGAAAAGGAAAATGAAGATTTTAAAGGAAGCCCTATCTCATTGAGTATGTTTTCAATGGACAAAAAATTACACCTTATATCAATAACAAATACTACTGTTTTCATGTCATAGGGAATTGGATTGGTGGTTCTAGGCATGCAAATGTGGATGAGGTGCCACTACAAGAAAAGGAAAATGAAGATATTGAACAAAGGCCTATCACATTCAGTATGTTTTCATTGGAGAAAAAAATATTTCTTAAATTAATAACAAATACTGCCATGTTTTCATGTCGTAGGGGATTTAATTGACGGTTCTATGCATGAAAATGAAGATGAGGTGCCATTTCATGAAAAGGAAAATGAATATTTCAAAGAAAACCCTATCACATTGAGTATGTTTTCAGTGGAAAAAATGACTTGTTATATCAATAATAAATTCTACAATGTTTTCATGTCTTAGGGGATTTGATTGGTGGTCCTAAGCATGAAAATGAGGATGAAGTGCCACTACGCAAAGAGAAAAATGATTTTAAAGAAAGCACTATCACATTCAGTATGTTCTCGGTGTAGAAAAAATTACACTTTACATTAATAACAAATACTAATGTTTTTATGTTGTAGGTGATTTATTTGGTAGCACTTGGCATGAAAATGAGGATGAGGTGCCTATACACAAAGAGAAAAATGAAGATTTTAAAGAAAGCCCCATTCCATTCAGTATGTTCTCAGCATAGAAAAACCTACACCTTATATCAATAATAAATACTAATGTTTTCATGTTGTAGGTGATTTATTTGGTGGTACTTGGCATGAAAATGAGGATGATATGCCACTACATAAAGTCGAAAAAGAAGATTTTAAAGACATCCATACCAAATTGAGTATGTTTTCATTTATACATTTAAAAAAATCCTTATCAAACACTAATGTTTTCATGTCACAGGTGATTTACTTGGTGTTACTTGGCATGAAAATGCGCATGAGGTGCCACCACAAAAAGAGGAAAATGAAGATTTTGAAAAAGAATTAATCGCTATAAGTATTTTTCATTGAAAAACATTATTACTTCTTTTAACAATAACAAATACCAATGTTCACTTTTATGTTGTAGTGGATTTGTTGGGTAAAACTTGGCATGCAGTTGAGGAACCTAAAACAAGAAAGGACTCGAAGGAAGAATTTCCAGACATAAATTTTGGTATGTTTGTTGAAAAACACAAAGGGTATGTTTAGTTTAAACATAAACTTTAACTACTACATAAAATATATGCCATGTCTTCTCTCACAGTAGGTATGTTCAGTTTTTTAAAGAGTATATTATCAGCATCAGAATAAAACTTCATACTTCTTTATAATATTTTATCAAAAATTTTGTTATGGCATTTATAATTTAAAAGTTATTGGGGGTTATTGGTCTGCGAATCGGTGAACATGTGTTGAACTGACACCGGGTCGTTCGTTTACTTTGGCTTTAGCCATCCTCGGGAATGTGCTTTGAACCAAAATTTATTTGAATAAAATCAAAATCATGCGAAAATTGACCAGCTCAATAAGTGACTCAGAGCCAGTTCAAAATTATGTCGTATCTAATTTAAATTCCTTCATACAGTAATCACTAATAATGTAATGCCCATTTTATGCTGTAGGTGATTTGTATGGTGAAACTACACATGATGATAATGAAACAATAAATAGAAAAAGGGAAGAAAATTTTGAAGATATTGCCAAATTATGTATGCTTCATGGCAAAAATAAATAAATCATATTTTACAGTTAAATAATGAATAATCCACTAATACTGTATGTGTTATTTTTAGGCAGTTTATTTTTAGATGAAATTATTGCTGAAATTGCGGAATTAGAGCAAATTTTTGAAGAAAGTAGTAATATTGGTTTGTTTTATTTAACAACTTACAAAACATAGGTTTCTTTACTGAAGCTAATTTATAGAAGAAAATTAAGAGTGAACATTTCTTTCATATTTTAGATATTTGGAATGCTAAACCTTCATTTGACAACACAGATCATTTTTCTAGTGAGGATGGTGGAATTTTGATATTGATTCCCGGAACAATGCGTACGTTTATTTTTTTTTTATTTATGTATATGTTTTAGTTGGTCCTATTAAGCAATGAAGTAAGTAGGGAAGAAATTTTCTTTGTAGAAAAATAATAAATCAATTTACTTTATTGATTTTTATGCATACAAAGTTTGTTATCGGTAAAACAACAAAATAACTATATTGGTTATAATAAAATTCCATGGTGAAACTTTTGAATATATAGAGGCAAAATTTTTTTACAAACGAATTTTAAACTCGGTTCAATAACCTATAATATTATGCAATATTTTTATGTTTTAGATGAAACATCATTGGAAAGCACAACTGAATCGTCTGCAGAGGATGTAGAAATAGAAAAACATTCTACAGAAGAAAAAGAAAACCCTAAAGAACCTGAAATAGGTATGATTACCATTAGAACAAACTAGCTTAAATTGAGCCACTATAAAAACCATTCTTTTTATTTTTTTATTTTTTTCTTCTATTCGTTCATCATCCTTAATATTAGGGATAATTATTTAAGATTTGACTAGGTTAAGTATTAAATATACATGTTGAAGAATTAAGCCCTAAAAAAACCAAGGGAAAACTAGTTAATTCTCAGCTCTCACCAGACTGTTTTTCCTATTGTTCTACCTTGCTCAGAGGACAATTCCCCCCAATTACCTATTTTCTGCTAATATTGATAATCTTATAATTTTTAATATTTTACAAATCTACACCGTTTCACATGATGAAATTGAAACATTGAATTGAATATTTTTTTAAACTTTGGTGATACTAAGATAAAAATTATTAAAGAAATGAATGGTGGAGTGAGTGTGGTGTTCAATCCTTTTAAAAATATAATTCCTACTCAAAGTAAGTTGTTTTCAACGATCCGGATTTCAAGCTTATAGCTCATTATCAGGTTGAAGGAGTTCTACAAACACGTCTCTTGAAATGAATTGTAAAAGTTACTTTTTAAAACTATCTTTTTAAAAGGATTAAAAAATATTAGGCCAATGTCCAAGCATTCTTGCCAATGAGCTTAGAGGATCCAGGAAGAGAAGTAATTTTCATAGTTTTTAAATTGGTTTTTCTGTCTTTGTTGTGCACGTATTTTAAGGTTACTACATACTATTATATTGGTTTTTTTCATCTAGGATAAAAAATGATTATGCACGGTTGTATTAAATGAGAATGAAAAGTAAAAAAAAATACATAAAATATATATACTTCCAGTAGTGTCATTTTTTATTAATTCAGATTTTTATTATAAGCACACTTTTAATTCCTTAAATATGTACTTTTATGGTGACATTTTTGGGCTGGACTTTTTTTCTCTCTCCGGTGTCCTGTTGTTTCACATAAAAATACAAAACTCCTCTGACTTTTATCTAAATTCAACATTATGATAACCATTGGAAAGCTGGATTGTTCTGTTTTTAGACTGTCAACACTTAGATTTTATGCCATTGTAAGTGAGAAAAATAAGTATGAAATAAACAAAAAACCACCAACATTTTTGCCATTATGTGCAGTTTGTTTATAATGTCCTAAAGCCTTTTAAAGTGTCAGTTAAACCCATGGAATTGTTTCCCAAAAATTTGTCATATTTTATACATCATTATCTATTTTCAAAGGTTGTAGGATATTTGTTTCAATGCTGTTTTAAGGTGTGCATTTCAACTGTCATTTCATTATGAATCATAACTTAGGGTATACATATTCAAAAAATAATTGTGGGTATTAATTTAGCCTCCTGATGTGTGAACTTTCAGAATTTTAAAATTAAGCATTTCAACTTATTCTAATGCAATCGTGCAAAACTATTGCAAATTTTGAAATAAAAAAAAAAGAAATTTCTGACACAAGACCTATGTCTTAGCTAATAACATTATAACCACTGAAAAGACAAAATGCTTTAAAACTTGGTTCAAAATCTTTCTATAATATGCTACATTTTATGTTTTAGTTGAAACTTCACTGGAAAGCACAACTGAATATTCTACAGAGTATGAAGACAAAGAAAACCATCCTAAAGGAGAAAACGAATACACAGAGGAACCCGAAATAGGTAAGTTTATCATTAGAACATACATATATACAAGTACATAGAAAAATATAATTCATAAAACTTTTTTTTTTCAATTAAGCCATTAAAAAAATTTAAATTTATTTATGGGTTCTTGCATTTTAATAATCTATTGATCTTAATATTTTTATGCTGCTGTTAAAACACTGTTTGAATTTGACATTCCAGCCCAACCAAAGCATTGACTTTGATTGCTTTGCAAATTTTATTGAATTTAAAAACTAGGAAATTTCTTATACAAATGGAATGTCTAGCCAACAACACAATAACCACTAAAAAGACATAATGCTTTTAAGCTCGGTTCAAAATCTTTATGTAATATACTACATTTTTATGTTTTAGTTGAAACATCATTGGAAAGCACAACTGAATATTCTACAGAGTATGAAGGCAAAGAAAACCATCCTAAAGGAGAAACCGAATACACAGAGGAACCCGAAATAGGTACGTTTATCATTAGAACATACATATATACAAGTACATAGAAAAATAAAATTCATTTAACTATTTTTTTTTGCTTTTTATTAAGCCATTAAAAAAATCTAAATTTATTTATGTGTTCTTGTATTTTATCAATCCATTTATCTTAATATTTTTATGTTGCCGTTAAAACATTGTTTGAATTTGACATTCTGGCCCAACCAAAGCATTGATTTTGCTTTGTAAATTTTATTGAATTTAAAAGCTAGGAAATTTCTTATACAAATGATATGCCTAGCTAACACTACTATAACCACTAAAAAGACATAAAGCTTTTAAACTCTCAGTACAAAATCTTTCTGTAATATTTTTATATTTTAGTTGAATCATCATTTGAAAGCACAACTGAACCTTCTACTGAGTATGTAGACATAGAAATGCGTCCTAAAGAAGAAAAAGAATACCCGGAAATAGGTGTGTTTACCATTAGAGCATACAAAGTAAAAATATAATTCATACAGCTATCATATCACAATAAACTAATTTGTTACAGTCGAGAGTCAGGAAACATACTACCCTGAATTTCATAATTACATCCCAAATTATGGGGGGATCGATAGATACTCATACAAAACAAAAGGCGATGGAAATTATTTATCTGAATCCCAGGTCCATATATATCCCGAATATATTAATTTGATCCCTGGTGGCTACAAATTGGAAGAGAAAAAGCTGGATAAAGTAAAGAGAGAGGCACCAATCACGAATGACCAAGATGGTTTTCTCGCCGACCAACCAATAGCAGTGGAGGAGCACATAGAAAAAAAGAAGACCGGCAATGTAGAATTTGGAAGAGGCAATTCTGACAGATCTCAATTGATCGGAAAATTCCTGACAGAACTGGATAAAGAAACAGGCGGAGGACAGACAAAATACAACGTAGGACCTTCATTTTCTCATCCTGTTACTACAACTGAAAAATCATTTTGGAAAAAGCTATTCGATCTCCTTTAAAGCTAACATTTGCAAAAGCTAAACTGTAAATTTTAAATTTATTTTTAAGTGATACTCACCTCAGGTAAATTTCTAAAATAGGAAATAAACAATTTCTGTTGACAAAGATCTGAAACAAAAATTATAAGTCAAATAATTATCTGTCTCCTTAAAATAATAAATAAAATTTAAAATGTGCATTACAAATCATCCATTTCTTTCAATAAGGATTTTATTTTCTTAGTAATTAAAATGATCTGTTCAATCAAACCTAGTAATAATAATGTGTACAAATACATTAAAAACAAACATACTAAAACATAAAATAATACTTGTAATACTATATGTAATACATATTTTTAGATATTTATCGGTAATAATATATAACAATATTTTCATTATTTAGAATTTTTTTGATGATTTCAATTTGTTTCCCAATTGTTCTCGTTTTGCTTTTGATTATTGGTGTAAATTTGTTGTTAATAGAAACAAAGGATGTTTTTGTCTATTTCATTCTTTATAGTGTGAATGTGATCATAACTTACCATGACATTACATTTTATTTAAATATTAAAAAAATGTTAACCAAACCAAAACTGTCCATAAAAATGAATGTACATGTCTTGAATAGAACTTTCTGATCAAATATGCTTCTCTCTCTTTTTCTTTTTTTTTTTTCAAAATAACAATTTAAAGTATTTCATCCATAAACTTTTGAATCAAACTACTGAATTGAATCTTTATCTTTCTTCTTATTTTAAATTTATATTTCTTCTGTTCATATGTATTTCATTTTTCCTTTTTTTTTTAGTGATATACTTTCATATTATATGGTTTTTGTAATTACTCATCAATAAAAATTTTGAAAATATTTACAATACATCAATCATGGGTTAAACAGTGCACACTTCAAGAATTAATTTTGTTCTTAAGTTTTAATAAAATCTATAACAATCATATAAACCTCAAAACCTCTGGCTATGAAATAAAATAGTAAGAATGTAGTGATCAACAAGCAGTTGTTAATTGTAGAAGTAGATTCCAAGATGTGGTGTTTGGATTACTACATCCCTGATCCACTTCTACAATGAAATAAAATAAATAATTTTTTTTTTAAATGTGTAAGAAAAAAATATCAATTTATGATTTAAAAAAATTCATAAAAAATAGAACTAATAAATCCTGTTTTACAACTGTCTCAACTCTCTAAAATCAATGGCTTAATGGCTTGTCATAAATCAGAAGAATAATAGCGCACAGCTCAAACTCGTGCTGATAAGAATTATCACAGATCCTAATCAATCTTAGTCTTTAGTAATGTATAATGATTTATAATCAAACAATTGTCTAATTTATAAACAAATTTGCAGATTAGCATGATTATTTAATGCCTTATTTTATGTAATTATTACATAAACAATGATTATAAGCTAGAAAGATGAAGAAATCTAATTCTTAAAACAATTATGTTTCACAAATATTTAGCTCTGTAATCATTGAGATAAAAAGGCAAATAAGTCAGTCAAGTTTTTAGGACAATACTACCGGTTCTGGGTTCGAATCCAAAAATAGCACTTCAGCATTTATTTGAGAATAATTAGAAAGTATTGTACAGTGGTTCTGATCGCTCTTCAGCTACATCCAACAGGTAGTTGATATTAAGCCCTTCTGTATAACAAGAATTACTTCATTTTCTTCTTTGGTATAAAACAGTAATGTTTTTGATTGATGATGATTTTTTCCAATAAGCTAGTTAGTTTTAGTCATGTCAGTTATGTCAAAAATATTGATTGGTATGGCCTGCATTAGTCTGATGTTTTCTTTCTACTGTTAGATGAATTCTTCACTCATGTTAGTCTCCTTTTTTGCAATTTACAATTTAATCTGCTTGTTCTCACTAGTTCTGTCAGTAAGAATGATCGTTAAAAAAAAAAATTAGGAAACATATAGACAACTGTAAATAGCAAAGCGTCAAATTGGATCAAACAAGCGAGAATCGGTTGGACAGGATGGACTTATTTTATTGTGATTTATTTGTAAGCTAGTGTAACGTGAAGTTTGACCAAGTCAGCGTGGAGAGGCATTACATCATCTGCTGGTATAAGGATGTCTATAATGCTGAAAAACAGACTGCATTTAGGCCAGCCAGAAAAATTAAATTCCATGCTGTTCTCAAAGATATGACCACAATCCATCAGCAAGTGCCCCCAAAATTGCTGGCATTCGGTAATGATTATTTAGAGATCGTGAGGTGCAGTCTGGTTTATACAATGATGTACATAATATACAAGTACTTTGATTAAACCTAAAATTTCTATATTGTGTATATCATTTATAAATTCATAGTCATATCTTATATGTTTTTCTATAATTTCAACAATGTTTATAAATCCCAGGCCTTGAAGATGATCTCAACAAAGATCTTCTTGTTGGCATGATAAAGAAAATATTTTCTAAGCCTATATCACCCAGAGTGCATCTCATGATCTCTAAATAATCATTATATTCACTTATTTCTCCAAAGCATTTGAGTGTATAACTTTTAAAATTAAAAGAATTTGGCTTTAGTAATACTATGCTCCTATGGTTTCACAGTTTTCTAAAAAAAAATCGTCTTCAAAGAATTCAAATAAGTCTACCTATTCATCTAAATTTGAAGTTAATTCTGTTGTACCTCAGGGATCAGTTTCCAACTTCTCTTTATCAATGACCTTCCTTTTATTATTCATTCTGTGAGATCATTACTATTTACAGACAATCTAAAATTATTTCACTCCAACTCTAATATAGATTGTCTTGAATCTTCAGCATTTACTAGACTACTTACATAAATGACAACTTATAAAAATAATATGACTTCGAACAACAAATGCTCTATAATCACTCCCATACAAATGTTTCTTTTCAATTTATGATTAATAAAACTCACATAAGACTATCCAGCATTAAAGATTTAGGAATCTGGCTTGATACTAAATTAGCATTCAACCTTCACATACAAACTATTTGCAAAAGGGTATACAAACTAAATAAAATATAATAGAATAGGTGAAAGCTCAATAGGCTCGAGGGAGTTCAGGATCGGCCCCTTGGCCAGTCTGTGCTGTGAGCTGAGGGTCTTCCCTCCTGAACTTCAGAGAGAGTAGATTACCCTCGACGATCAACCAGTGCCCGTACAAAGTTGTCTACAACAGGCTTTGCTCGAGGACGATTACCAGAATTCACTTCGATGAAGCCTAAGGGAGGGCCAGACTGGCGGCTAGGGATAGTAATGGCAATCAGCCGACACCCCTCGGGCCTTTCCAGCCGTACTCGTCAGCGATGATTTGGTCAAGTTGCCCAAATTGTGTATTCTGCCTCAACAAGGCCAAGTTCCTTGAACTTAGAAATAGATAGGCCGGTTTTCGTCCAATTTTTACAGACAAGTCCAAGACCAGCGATGGTGAAGCATGTGTCATGTATAGCTATGGAGTGGCCACCTGCTCATTGCCCCATCTTTGCAGCATATACATAGCAGAGCTGTATGCAATTTGGTACTCTCTTGGCGGTGCAGACCGAGGAGAACTCAGCCTTCCTTGTAGGTACTGACTCTGAGTGCTGTCTGGGCTTACGAGACAGGTTCTCTATGGACCCTCTCATGATGCTCTTGGTAGAGAAATACATAGAGCTGGAGCTTCTTAGAAAAATGGTGGTTGTTGTCTGGGTTTCCGGACACATTGGCCTGGAGGATAATAAACGTGTGAAAGCCGAACGTAATAAACGTTCCACCCTGCAGACCAGACCATTACAATCAGGCCCTCTGAACAGGAGACAAGGAATCATCTTCACCCGAATAAAAATTGGCCACACTCGGTTGACCCACGGGCACCAGCTTTTGGGCCAAAGCCCACATAGGTGCCCCTTACACAGACAAAGGTTGCTCAATGTGTCCCACATAATAGAGGCTTGTCGTGCCATGAGGGTGTAGGTATGCCGCCGGACTTAAGAATGGTTCTTGGACACAGTAGCGAGTTTCAGGGTCCTCTGTTCTGCTTTTTAGGGGAATTAGGTATTTTTTATTGTATACAGCCATCAAAAGTGTGTTCTGTATGAGAAAGTGTATTTAGGGAGGGGCAGATGGTGAAATAGCATCCACATTACCCCTCGAGCTGTGACTTGGGTCAATGGCGAAATATTTATAAAAGTACCCCATCAACCCCAATTAGATTAGTTTGTTACTGTATGCAGATCGATGGAGAAATAATAAGTACTCCATCTACAAGCAGAATGAATGCAATGTATACAGGTGTGAATGTATTGAGTGTGTTGTATTTCACATGCACTCAGGGCTAAAATAACCAAGCTGTCAGATGCCCCTTTAAAAAAAAATAGTATAGGTGAGAGATGTCCACCTTGCGGCACATAGAATTGGAATCTTTTGAAAAGAAGTTTATTTTAACTACTTGTTTCCAATTAGATACATAAGATTTGAACCACTTTACTGACGGAGTAGTAAAGCCCATGGAGTCCAATTTATAAGTATATCATGGTTAATCGGGTCGAATGTTTTAGATACATTTAAATACATTTAAATGAATTGATTATTGCAGATTGAAAAGTGATGTTTGACGTGGTGGATTTATGAAAGCCATGATGTTCATCAACGACGAGGTGTCGTAATTGAGTGTTGATAATATCATATACTAATGATTCGAACAAATTGCCTTTATGTGAAAGTGGAAATGGCAATGATTATGGCAACATGCTTGATAATTTTAATGTGTGAATTACCGAGGGAAAAGTGATTTTTAGCAGTCATCCTGATGTTTTGGAATGGTTCCTCGATATCTTTATCCGAAATAATTTAATAAAACATAAAGATGTACTGACGATACAGTAAACATGTGACTCGTGAACCGGGCGAGACGCAAGAGCGGGAATTGATAACTAATCCTTGATACTGACAGATTATTTGACAGTGATCGAAGGCAAATACCACACGAGAAAATTGTAACGGGAAATTTCAAAATCTGATACAAGAGGGAAAATATAATTGTCGAAGGAAAAAACCGTGAAAATTCGATCGTTTTTCACCTTCGAGTCGGCGGCCTTGGTTCACTTTTTTTCGCGGCGAGGTTTCAAAATTGTTTCCATTGCACAATTCCAGACGACCTAAACAACTTCGACCTATTTGAGTTTTGTAAATTTTTGTGCTCTACCTTTTTGTTTTTTGAACAAAAAAAAAGGAAAAATGTCTCTATTCAGGGCGATAAAGACTCCGACCGTCAACAAGTCCTTCAGCCTACCTGCCTTGCTATATCACAAAAATGTAATTATTTAATTATAAAATAGTTTCAAAATGTCCAAAAATACTATAACATATTTGTCACTTTTGAACATTTTTTTAGGACAATAATTCTTCAGTAAACGTTGAATCCTATTTAGAACTTTTTCTAGAAAAAAAAGTACAATTTCTGAACTGTTAATTGTATATTTAATTTCCATTATATGTATTATTTCCTAATGAATTACTTTCAACGTTTACAACGCAATTCCATGCCTAAATTTTTACAACTTGCCTCATTGAAATTAGTGGTGCAATGTGTTATGCAATGATTATCGATTTAAACGCAACTTAACTTGACATTGTATAAATTTATTTATTTTAAGTAAATAACTTTATTGTAGATTGTAAATTCCAGTTTAAATAGTATAAGTTTAGATAATTTATTTTTGCCTAAAGAAATCAATTCAATAGTTTTGTGGAGTTTCTGTCCAGTGACAGTTACCTCCAGCTGGTTTGCAATATAATTATGATGACATCACGTTATTTATAATTTAGTGGAATATGCTAGATCAAAAACCCCAGCTAAACCCAGTAAAAAAGGTCTCTGAACATCTTTAGTGAAATAGAAGCAAACCTTTTAAATTGATTTGGGAGTCATTTTGACACCTCGATTATTTCAATCATCGCTTCAACAAAAAAGGGCTAAGCAGGGTCTGTCCACATCTGGTCAATGTTTTTCTCACAAAACGAAGTGCCTTTGCAATCAAAATATCACGTTTATTATAATGTGTTGCAATCCTTAATTTGTTATGCAACTCAAAATTGTGCTATAATCACAATGTCTTGGAAAGGTTTCAAGTATTTCATTAAAAAAATATATTTTTTTTCTTTACCTACAAACACCCCTTCTTATATCTTTTTTTTTTTTTTTTTTTTTTTTTTAATAATGGATACCAAGAACTGAAGGAGTTCCCCCTAATCACTGCAGCTGTAGTATACGGCTTATTGTGCTTCCTTCCTGGCTTCATTTTTAGGAGCTTGCAACATACGTGTGAACATAAGCTCATTGTGTGCTGATGTTCTTCCATCAAAGAAACTAATTTTTGAATGGAGTTTGGATCAAATTCAGTTGCTGAGATCCGATTCCGCCCCAAACCTTCCATTGATGAGTGCCGTGCCAATTTTTTTCAATTGCGGCCACCAGTACCCTTAGGCGTCACAAAAAAAAGTCGGAAGGTAATGGTGGGAATCAAACTCACCACTGCAGGATCTATTAGACGAGAGCTTGACGACATAACCACTCGGCTACCCACACCATAATATTGAATCCTCTATTTATCCAAGTTTCTTATACAAATTTCTGCATTTTTAAATTTTGTTTGAGGGTGTTGTCACTTCCAGGTCATCTATTGGCAAACATAGCCAGGGTGATCAGGCAAAGGACTCTTTGGTTTGATTCCTGGGGTATCTTGGCTCGCAACTACTCTTGTGAGTTTTATCTTTCCATAGACAATGTCTCAGTGTAAGACTCAGCTTTCTTTACTTTTACAGAACGTATTAATATTTCATCAGGCAGAATCTCTGAGGATGGCTATGCAGTCTGAGCACTTTCTTCTGTATAGAATCATTTTGTAATCAGATCTAGATTTCAATGTTTTTGACTGCAGTGTCTCTGGATTGAATCTTTGTCAATTGAGGTGGTTGTTCGAGCTGAGAGGGGAATTTAGAACTATTTTTTCGATTATTTGCCCTGGTTGAGGAAGGTTCCTCTGAGGGAAAGATGTTCTATGTGCAATTGCCATGGAGTATCTTCATAATTTCCTTTGTAAATGTCCTGTGCTGGCTGACTGTCGCCAGCTCTACATGGGGAAGTAGCGATGGTCCAGCGATTGTCAGAAATTTGCCAAGCACTTGGCTCTGTAAACCTTTTTAATTGATTTTGCTAATAAGGCCTGGGAATGCAGGTACTAATAATAAGAGTTTAATTAATAATTTTGTTGCTCATTGTTAAATTAGTATATTATAGTTTTGTGTGGTGTTTAGTGACCGTTAGCCAATGATTATTTGGAGATAGTGAGAAAAACATTTTCTTTATCATGCCAATGTTTTGATTTTTATTGAGATTATCTTCAGGACTCAAAGTGTTTGTTTTCTGTTTGTGTGTTGTGTTGAGAGTGCCCCCATGATCTCCAAATAATTAAAGTAATTAGTATTGATTTTTTAAAAATATTGTTTCCTATTTTAATATTTAACTTTGCATTATTGGGTGGAAAAATGCGATTTTTAGTTTAGATTATTATTTTGATGTATTTTTTATGTTAATTAAAATCATCTTTAACGTTACCACTGTAAAATAAATTAAATTATGATGTAATGAAAAGAACTACCAACTCCGGCAGATGCTTTTTAAAAAATTTATTAAAATAAAAAAAATTATTGTAAATATATTGTACACTGTTACTTATATTTAACAATAAATGTTATTATTATTATTATTTTAAAATAAAGTAATAAAAAGCTAAATTCGTTAACAACAAAATGCCTTGCAAGTATGTAATAGTAATCAATACATAGAAATTAAACAACATACATATATAGTTAATGTTTCAATAAAAAAAAAGTCTCTGAATGCATTACTTTTATTTGTTTACTTACTACTTATCTAAATTTTATCTCAGTTATCTGTAGGTCAAGCCTTCCCAAACTTTTTAGGCAGCGGACCCCTTTCACAGAAAATCTAGGGCAGACCCCTCACATTCAAGTATATTCAAGTATTTAAAATTAGCTACTTGTATTATATGAAGTAAATTAAAGTTCTGTAAATTAGCCAGTCCATTCAATTTCCATTCCTAGATGGAGAGAAATATCTCTATGAAAACGAACATTAGATTGACATACTTATTTACAAAATCCGACATTTTTACATTGTGGACCATAAACAGAGACAAGATTTTAGTCCTGTAATCATGAAAGTGCTTTTCCGCAAGACAGCCTCTTCACTTTTGTATGGAAACGCAAGGAATGAAGAAGGCTTCATTAGCCACGACTTGATATAATTGATCATTTGAACAGATTCATTCAAAACATGCTTAAAAGAGGCTGGCACTTGTTTCATAGCTAAAGTATTTCTTTGGAGAACACAATGACTGCATGACTACTTCTAAAAAATAAACTTTCATTTTCAGTACTTATTGTTATTAAAATTTTTTAAATTTTATTTATTTATTCTACGTTTATTTTTGTAATCATTAATTTTTCCTGAAGTTCGCCACAGACCCCCCACCACCCTAGCTAGGGTCAGTGGACCCGCTTTAGATTCACTCCTACTATTTGTTACTATTAATAACATTTCATTAATAAAACTAGTTGTTGGTCATTTCCTGTAAAATCTCTCCTTTTAAATGGTTTTTGTTTTTATTCTTCTTTTTTATTTTTTTATAAGCTGTCTTTCAATATGATCCCAAGTGACTAGTGCTCAATAGATACAATGAAAATGAGGCAATCTACCCCAATTGTGCAGGGCTGGGCAAGAAGCATTATATAGTAGCCATTCTTGACGATTCCAAGCCATGCGTTTGGGGTCGTTGTCTTGCTGGAAACCTATTTATTATCAGTTGTAAATATTGCTTTTGCAGGTAATCGACCATTATGAGAATCCAAGGAATGTCGGGTCATTGGACAAGAATGACAAGAGCGTTGGGACAGGCCTTGTCGGGGCCCCAGCCTGTGGAGATGTCATGAAGCTTCAGATCAGAGTCGACGAGAACGGTAAAATAGTCGACGCCAAGTTTAAGACTTTTGGTTGCGGATCTGCTATTGCCTCGAGCTCACTCGCCACAGAGTGGGTCAAAGGGAAAACGGTTGGTTAAAAATTTCCGAACAATTTTGCAAGTTGACAATAAGATTTGATTTTCTTTCAGGTGGAAGATGCTTTAAAATTGAAAAATTCTGACATCGCAAAGGAGCTCGCATTGCCTCCTGTGAAACTGCATTGCTCTAGTATGTACTAAATTTAGTTATAATTAGATTTTTTGGTTTTGCAGTTGATCATTTCAGAGATTATCATACACTGTCTAGCTTGGCATGACAAATGTTGCTAGTTCTACAATTTCTTTAGTATTAAATCATATATTAGTTGAACAACATTCAAGTTAGTAGACTTAAAATCACACCATTTGATTATTTTACTTATTGACACAGCTTTTATATGATTTTATTTATTTAATTGAAGAAAACAAACAAACTACATATAATTTATATTTTGTTTAATTACATAATTAATATCAAATATTTCCTCCTATATATTGGACTCGTGACAAATTATTTCATCTGGGCTTGGAGGCTCCCAAGGCCCAATGACAAACTGTCTCCTTTGGGCTTATATGCTCCCCAGGCCTTGTGAGGAGTAATTTCGTTCTTGTGATTTTTACATTTTAAGAGCTCCAACTGGATATCTTCTATTGGGCACCTCGTTAGTTCATGGATGACACACTCCACACCTTCCTATTCCGCCCTCATCACCAGCAAACCACTCTTTTCTCTTTTTTTTAATTAATTTATTTATTTCTGACATTAGCTGATAAGCCATAGCCATTTAAAAAAATCTTTTTAAATTATTTTTTATTATTCCAAACTTTTCACTCTAGACTTTTTTAATTTTCTTTAAAAATGTGTGAACCTTCTTGAGGAGTTAACATTTCTTGAGGCTAAAATTGTTTTATAATTACATGGAAGATGAATAAAGGATATAATTATCCTTTATTCCATTGAACAGTTCTTTATCTTTCATTCCATTATTATATGCTCTCCTTCTGTTCACACAGTATTTATTTTGTTTTTTAGTTATGTTTTAATATACATAATGAATATTTTTTGTGAAAAATAAATTTTCTCTTAAATACAACTCTATTTGTTTTTGTTTTTTTCTTATCATTTATATACTATAAAATCTGAGGAATGTATTGTCAAATTTTCAACTGAATTGGTGCACCTCAAAAGGATTTAAGAGTGAGTTGAAGCTAACACTCCAAATTTCGATGCAATATGCAAAATAATCAGGCTGTGGGGTCGTGTAGCAGCTGTGATTATAGGCGAGGGACGTGTTTTAATATTCTAAATCAGCCCTGAAAAGGTTAAAGAATAGTTTTTAGTTGATCCAGCCTGGACCGATATAGTTGTTCGGGCAGAAATTTTCATGTTTATATTTTATCAATAAAGAAATAAACTATATACTTACAATTGGCACAGGATGCTGAAACAATTCAACATTTATTTAAAACACCTAAAAAATAAGGCCTAGAAATAAAAAAATTCTATTATGTAAATCGATTACTAATATAATTTAATTTCCAGTGCTTGCTGAAGATGCAATTAAGGCCGCTCTCTCAGACTACAAGATCAAACAGCAGTCAGAGGGCACAGAAAAAAAATAGTTGTTCGATTTTCAAAATTTAAAGTCGTATTGATATTAAATTATGTTTTTAAAGTTTTTGTTTCATATGTTAACGAGAGGAATTTATAATTTTATTTTAATATTATACCTGCAGACCATGTGATAAGCTGATTGTCTTTTCTTACAGGTTGATATGCATTAGAGTTTATTTTGTAAATTTCTTGTAGGTAAACCGTTAATATTTAGAAAACAAGCAAAATACTGTTTTAGTAGTTATTTATAAACATTTATATAGATTTAGTGATGATTAAATTATCAGTACATTCAAAAGTTCTTTTTGCAGTTTATAGAAGTAAAAAAGAGAAAAATTGCAATGGAGAAGAGTATATATTTTTATTGTTTTTTTAATTGGATCAAAAATTATTCGTTGCTAGGTTAGTGGTTCTATGATTGTTGAAATTTGCCAGAAGTTTGTTGAAGTCATGACGAGTGGTCAGAAATAAAGTATTTTAGGGGAAAAAAATTTCCCGATGTTTCGACCTTTATTCAGGTCATCTTCAGGGTCTGAGTGAATTACAAAACATATGTATACATTCACCCAGGTTCTGAAGATGACTCCAATAAAGGCCAAAAATTTTTTTTTTTTTTTTGGGGGGGGGGAGGTATTTTTCTAAAATATTTCATTACTGATAGCTCCTCACTATTTCAACAAATTATTGAACAACCGATCACTAAATAGCACACTATTATCAGCAGTTTGATCTTCATCTTTGATATTGTTGGTATCAGTTGTGCAGTGGCTAAATATACTGAAGATATATAAGCATTAAAAATAAGTGATCAGGCTACCAAACGCTGATAAATAAAACATTAAAATGTTAGAAATGTATTTTTTGCAATAATGAACATCATGACTGCTGTGAAAGTGGTTTTTATTTATTCTATTGATAATTAGTATTTACTTATAAGGCAACAAAAAAAATTAGGGTTTAAATAATTTATTAATATCACATGTTAAAACAATAGTACATAGACTGGCAATCTAATAAATTATCTTAATTATAAAAAATAAATAAAATATATTGTTTCATCTATAAATGCTGTACAAAAATTATTTTAAAAAATAACTCATTCCCTCTGTGACTTTGTATCCCTCTTCCAAACGATGACAAGCCCCTGTTGGTCGCTTGTGCTCAAAAGGCTTTCATCGTAATTGAAACTGACTCCAAATACGGGGCTCGAATGTCCTTGCAACTTGTTCACAGCTGCATTCATAACACTTTCACATCCGATGTCTAAAAAATGGACGCACGAATCCTCACTTCCTGTAACTATTGAGAGGAATCAGTCACCTAAAGGTAATGAGTTGCCTTTACAACTCACCAATGCAGGCGCCCTTCCTGAAAGACATTATAGGGCAGAATGTTGACCGAATGTGGCTATTTTGGTTTTTATGCTCGATAATGAAACCCCTTTTCAACTGTAAACCTTTATCGGTAACCCTGGTAAATTTTATAATTTAAATAATAAAGTTAAACTTATAAATAGTGAATTTGACAAGGTCTTTTACCTGTACAACTGTATCATATTTGCTGCGATATTTACCAGCAAGGATGGATCTCTAGCTTCTCTACTTATCCACGCTCGCCAGTTTATATTCGTTATAGCAGCACTGACACCGACAAAGATTCTCTTGTGCTTATTCAATTTCCCCGAGTTGACATTGAAATAAAACGACATGATATAACCCTAGAATAAAAATTAAAATGTGGAATTTTTTAATGGAGAGATATGGAAAAAACTAACCAAATCATTCCCAGCCCAAAGTGAATTACCGCTTGAATCAAATGCTAAAGATAACACTTTGCCGCCGACATTATTTCTCAGTTTTATACCTGTTGATATGTTCAAAACCTCCACTTGGCCTTTTATGTTCCCAGCCTTTATTATAATTCAGAATTAAGCTTAATATCCATCACATATTGAATAGCCATAAGTAAAATGTGATTTTTAAAAGAAAGGATACAACGACAATATTGTTGTTGACTGGATGGAAGAGGCATGAAAGCAGTTCAGTCGGTACGGAATCTCTAACTGAGCGAATACATTTGTAATTTGATGTGTTCCACACGCATATTTGCCCATCTAAGGAGCTCGTGACGATCAAATCGTTTGCAAAGGACCAATCACAGCCTATAAACAAAAATGGCATAAACTCGTATTTTGACTTTTTATCGAACAATCACCCTCACCTGTCACTTCTCTTTCATGTCCTTTCATGATACATTCTAGAGTAGGAGGTTGAGTGAGCAAATTGCAAATTGAGACGGTCGAGTCGTTTGAGATGCAGCACAACCTAGCACGATCATTGTTCGCAAATTTTACCATTGTGACTGCAGACGAGTGCTGAAAATACAATATATTGTACTTTGTACTATCATTTTGTCCCAATATTTTTGGGAATAGTGCTTTATTTATAATAATAATGTTTGCTTAGCAAAAGAAAAAGTACATAAACATTTTACAGTATGGTAAATACCGTCTGCCGGACTCAAACAAAAATGTAAGGATGTAGCATGTAACTGAAAACTTAAAAGGTAGAAAACTTTTAAGAATGCAAAAAACAAGAAAATAACAACTAATGATAATTATTCTTTTTATCTAAGTTCTTAGTTGAGATGAAAAAGTTAGTGTCACGAGCAGGATTTGAACCCATGACCTTCAGCTCAATATGCTGCTGCTCTAACCATTTGAGCTGTCATGGCTAAGAAATGGTTAGAGCAGTTGAAGGTCATGGGTTCAAAATACACAAACTAAGGTCTTAGATAAAAAGAAGAAATTTAAATAAAAAGAATAATTAATACGATCAATTAAGACTGCTAAACATTTATGGATTTACGAAAGATAATATCCAAATGAAAAAATGAAATAATAAAAAATAATAATAGTAATAAGTAAAGGCACAGTCAGGATCATTAAAAATTAAATAAAAAATTAAAACACCTATTGAATTCTTTAATTAGTTCAAAACAATAAGACCAAGCTTGCCGTGATATTTGATCAGTTGTAACCAATTCAATTAGCAAGGTTCTCCTGAGCATATTGTTTCCAACATGGGGATATCAAAATTCAGAGATGATAGGTAGAATATGGGAAAGGTGATGAGCAGGCAAATTTTAATACAGTATGAAGGCCGAAGGTAAAAACTAACAAGGGAAGTCAAGGTCTCAATTGATAACATGTAATTTTGTGCCATAAGGGGTAACTTAAACAACTTAATTAAATAAAAATAAAAAAACGCAGAAACTTTTCCACCAGGACATACTGTCAAAACTCCCAGCATTGAGCATAATAGAATACAATTGATCAGGAAACAGCTTTAAAGAAATTATATTTGATGGAAGGGGGGTTCTAATATAATATCTAAAAATTAATGCCACAATAGCAAATCATGGATAAGCACATGGTGAGGGTTATACCCAGTTAATTGTGGCTGTGCTAATTAACAACAGAAATTTTCTATGGGGTTGCTTTTATATTGCCACCGATCATGAGAAGTGAGGACATCTTTTTCGAAAAACCATAATGTACTTTTCTAGACGGAATTTATTGAACATTAGGTTCCATTGTCACAGTAGCATTTAAGGAGATTGACGTTCTGACAAGAAACTAGGTCTTAATCTAGAAATGTACATACATCAAGATTAATGGCTGTATCAGCCATTCTCACAACAACAAAAATCAGAAATACCCTAGATGCCTCTTTCTGACGAAGATGATTATTTGTAAAAGCTTTTTAAACTATCTGTTGAAACATTAATGAGCAAGTTAGTTACGTGAACCAACTGACAAGAACAAAAGTGAAAGTTATAGGCAAAATATTAATGCAGGTTATATTTTTGTCTTGGGGTCTTATCTTAGACAGATTGATCACACCGATCTCCTAAGTGTGAAACTAGCCTTGCTTTAAAGTTAGAAATAACACCACAATCACCTGGTCAAATATGTGATGTACGTTAACGAATGAGTAGTAATTATCAAACAAATTGCTTCCTGAGTATGCACGTGACTTGTCTCGACATGGCGACAAGTCGCCTTCTTTGTTGAATGAGTCGACATCGCTCAATTGGGCTGTACTTTCTGGACTCACCTATAAATGAGGTTACACACTCATAAAAATAGATAGTTCTGGTGTATTTAGAGTATTTGTCTCACTCTTGTGTTGATGCTCAGCCTGCGCAGGCTCATCTGATCAAATGATGAGCCATAACGGTTTTGCAAGAGGATCCCACGCAGTCTGAGGTACTGCTTCCACAACGCACTATCCTTACCTCCTCCGAATTCCCTTAGGAGCTGATTCCTCCTTCTTATGTACAACGTCCCTGAGAATAGAAACGATTTAAAATTTGCAATTTAGATAAAATAATCAGACTCTCTTACTAAAGTTTGGGTGGTTTTTGGCCCTGTGGGCGTTGTATCTGGCGTCGAGGGCGAACACCTGTTGCTGCCAGGCTGTCGACATCCTGGAAAAAAGGCAAAACAGCACAGTCTGAAACTGCGACGTTCTACAGAGGTTTCGCTCTGGTTGTTATAAACATTTGTAACCTCCCCCATTGACTGAAGCTCTTAATTGTACAAGCACGTGGTATTTTCAACGCAAGCGAAAATGAAGCAATTCAAACGTAATTTCATGCAAAAAGACTACAAACTGGAAAAAATCAAGAAGAGGGAAGCAGAACAGAAAGAATTAGAACAACTTGTTCAACAATACGATACTGTACGTATAAATATATACAATTTATGGATGTCATGATAAAAGAAGAAAAACTCAACTCTGAGTAAACATAAATGCACTTATCCTTTTCTCTCTCTTTTGTTTTTAGCAAAAATAAGTCTCTCAGATATGGCAATTCATTGCATACGTTTTCTTGAGAGTACATCGATGCGGCTAGTTTTGTCAAAAGGTTTTCTTGTATATATCAACAACTCTATTCTGTTTTAAATTTAAACAAACTCGTCATGTTCAGACGGTACGGTCCTAAATGACCTGTATATTTCAAAATTCATAGCCCTTGGTGATTTAAAGATCTCCATGTAAACTATGTGATATACACTGATGGACAAAATTAACACACCACCCTTACATTTTAATATATTTAGGTTTGTTTGTAAAAATAAGGCTTTTGAAAAGAAAATATTACCTAATCCTTAAAAAAATATTAAGTAAAGAGCAAAAAAAAACTTTTCTGTCCTTTTTTTAATAGCTCCTATTTCACAGAAAAGATCTCCAATAAGCTTCTGAAGAATTCTTTCCCATTCATCAAGAATAGCCGTTTCTAACTCTTAGGGACCTGGGTTTCTCCATCATTCTTGTCGCTTAAGTTGGTTCTAAACGTGTTTGATTGAGTTCAAATATGGATTTCGAGCTGGCCACACCAAACACTCAACATTAATCATCAATCACCTACAATACATGTTTGTGGGACTGGCATTATCCTGCAGGAGCAAGAATTCCTCATAGATGTGGGAACAAATGGCACTAATGTTCTTTGATTATGTCTTGCGAAGTGAGAAATCTTCTTTTCACAAGAACCAATTCTGATGGGCGTCCAAGGAAATACCACCCCAGAATATCATTGAACCACCATGGAATGGTTCCTCAGGTGACACCAAACGACATGGGGTGTATTTTTGTCCTGATTTGAGGCCAACTCTCACCTCACCTCAAGAGAAATTATTCCCAATCTTCAAACATCTAATTATACTGTGTGAATTGAAGCATGGCCATTTTCTGAGCTGTGGTAAGAAGAGATCCATGAGCCTGACCCTGAAATATTTTCATTGAGCCTTCTTCTTACAGTCCTGGAAGAAATTGAAACGTACTTGTCTTAACTCATTGGTAGACCTAAGTCGTCAATAAATTTGTCTATCAGTGTATTAATCAAAATCTTACAAGCAGTAAATTCTTTAAGTGGAGTGTGGAATTAGGCTTTACCATGTCGGAAGAAATAAGTGCAGCAATGTATCTAACGTAGCAGTACAATGTTACAATTCCTTCCATATTAGATCTTGGTCCTTACAAAATTGGAACCTACTCCTCTTTCAAATTATTGGGAGTGGTCATTGTACAAAAATTATCCTAGAAACCTCAAATTAAGGGGCATTGGTGGCCGCAACAGTTTTGGCGTTGACAAGGTGCTCATCACTGTAAGTAAAAGTTCCGGGTTTGAATACAGGGCCACTACATTCGAACCTGACATACTTACATATGAGCTTTTTTCAAAAACACCGGCACCATGTGGTTCATATAACCTCGTAGTTGAAATACTGTTGTTAAAAAATAAATAAATAGAGAAAAACTGTGAATAAGGTAAATGTGTGGCCTAGAATTATGGTGCCCACCCAAGCTTATGTTCAGCAATGTACCAAGCCTTTATTACATCTAGAATACACTATAGAAGTTAATATTAAGCATTTATATTAAATTGTAATTCTGCCAGGTGAGGAGAAACCAGAGCGATATCGCCAGCAATTTCATTTTTGTACCATTTACTACCGTATATAGTATCCCTTAACATTCATGGGGGTTTGGTTCCAGAAAACTACCGTGAATGTTAAATCCATGAATGTTGTGTCTATTTTCCTATGCTAAAGGAGGGTTATGTTACATGACACCAAAAATTGAGATACAATTTAGAACTAAAAAAAAACTTTATTCAAAATAAACATAATAGCAGAAATAACAGTGTTTGAAATGTTAATTATTTTCATTGTTTGTATTTTTTGACGTGCATGGAAAGAAATAACTATTAATTGTTCGCTGTTTTGCCAAATAATTAACTACTTTAAGAATTTCCACATAAGGATTTCAACCAGCCTTGACATCCCTTTTAAACTTAAAACTTTAAGTTGATGATCTTAAGACCCAGCTTAAATCATCTTGATTTAAAGATGGGTCGAAATCCATTGCGTTTTTAATAAGTTGGTCCCTTAAGGTTAAAATTTCCCTGAGCTGTTTTGAAAAAAAGCTTTCGTCTGCATAACAAATGTAACATGTCCAAAATAGTTATTCTTTCAACAAGGGTCAGGACGTTTTTTTTTCCGTTTTGGAAGAGGAGGCATTATGTGACACAAATTCCACGAGAGAGAGAAAAACAGGCTCGGAAGAAAGAAGGAACAGTATGTTGAAAGCAGGCAAAAGTTTTCTGAGAGTTAATTAGAACTATCAACTCATTTTTTAAATAATTATTTTCAATACGAACATAAAATTGCTTATCCAACTGTTCCCCCCCCCACAAATAAAGAAATCGGACTTCTGCAAATGTGAAAACTTTCCTCACTTTTTCATATGTGAATAGGGAAAACCACAAGAGTTCAGAGATTTCTGTACCTCCTACTAACACTTCTTTGATGTCATTTGTGATAAGTAGTGCTGACTTGTGATTGGGAAAAAAATGCTTCTATGTACAGGCTAGGAATAAATTACATAAAAATGAAAAAATCTCTGCTTGCTAACTTTTGGTTCTTGTTTAAATTAGCCATAAACTTTATTTAGAAGTACATTTGCCAAATTTTGAATATTATTATAGGTGGACAGTTCTGAGATAAACACTTTTGATGATATACCGTTAACAGAAAATACAAGAAAAGGCCTTTCAGAAGCAGGTTACACTGTCCCGACTAAAATACAAAAAGAAAGTATCATTGTTGCGCTGAGGGGCCTGGATGTGCTTGGAGCCTCAAAGACTGGGAGCGGCAAGACACTTGCCTTCCTTTTACCTGTATGAAACCAAGATTACCCATTAGTATTTAGCCTTTAATCTTATTACATAACAGGGCAATTTTTATATTCCTAGGTGCTTGAAATCCTTTATAGGAAACAGTGGACTAAATTTGATGGAATCGGTGCAATTATAATGACACCAACAAGGGAACTAGCATTGCAGATTTATCAGACTTTGGTCAAAGTTGGTAAACACCACAACTTCTCGGCCGGCCTTATCATTGGTAAATTTGTTAATGTTAAATAAAAAATAGTTACTTTCAAAATAATTATATTGTAGGTGGTAAGGATCTGTCTTTCGAAAAAGAAAGGATGCATATAATCAATATTATAATTTGCACGCCTGGAAGGCTTTTACAACACATGGACATCAATCCTCTGTTTGACTGTACAAATTTACAGGTCATTTGTTTATTTATTTATTTAATTTTTTTTTTTCTAACTGGCAGCATTTATGCAGATTTTAGTACTCGATGAAGCTGATAGATGTTTAGATATGGGCTTTGAAAAAGAAATGAATGCGATTATTGAAAATTTTCCGAAAGAGCGTCTCACTCTTTTGTTTTCTGCAACACAAACAAAGTAAATAGTTTTAAATTGACCCTGAGTGTTATTTGCTTATTTAACAACTTTTTGTTTATTAGAAAGGTGAAAGATTTAGCAAGGCTAAGTCTCGTCAATCCAACATACATTTCAGTACATGAGCATGAAAAATACAAAACACCAGAGGGTCTAACTCAGAGTTACATTATCTGTGAGCAGCATGAAAAAATATCAGTCCTTTGGTCATTTATAAAAGCACACCCGAAGCATAAAATCATGATATTTTTTTCCACATGCAATCAGGTATGTTAAAATTGAAAAGTGTCATGTAAAGAATAATCATAGACTAACGATCACTAATCACCACACATGTTATGTAAAGGTTCTTTAATTAATTTTGTTATTAGGTTAAATTCATATTTGACATAATGTGCCATCTGAGACCATACAACACTCTGTTCGCTCTTACGGGGAAATTGAAACAGAATAAAAGAATGGAAGTCTATCAGTCGTTTTCGAGGAAACAACACGCCGTTCTTTTTGCAACCGACTTGGCTTCAAGAGGCTTAGGTGTTCTATTTCCCCTAGTAGTTTTTATCATTACGAGTTGTTTTTTTTATAAATAATTTTTGTTTTATTCTTTTGCATACAGATTTTCCAGAAGTTCATTGGGTCATACATGCAGATTGTCCTGAAGATGTAGAAACATATATTCATAGATCAGGAAGGACGGCTAGGATTTTTAAAGGAGGTGAATCCTTACTGCTTCTCAACCCTTCAGAAAAAGCTTTTGTTAACAAATTGGAAGAAAACAGGATTCCGATTAACGAAATTAAGTATGTTAATTTTAAAATTTAAATAGTCTGGATTATTAAATCTCCTCATACTTTTTTAATTAATTTATTTTTATTTAATTTAAATTAATTTTTTTCAAGGGTGAATCCTCAGCAAATGGTCTCGCCCCAAGCAAAAATGGAAGCGTTTCTTGCAAAGGATCCAGAGCTTAAAGTCTCAGCTCAAAGAGCATTTGTGGCTTACACAAAGTCTGTCTATTTGATGAAAGACAAGTCTGTTTTTAACATAAAAGAAATAGACACTCATAAATTTGCTAGGTATTATGAATAATTTTAAAAATGAATTTAAATGACAAACATTTCTTTTTTAGGTCTTTGGGTCTTATTATATCTCCAAGAATACGGTTTATTGAGAAAGCGGAAAAGAACAAAACACAATCACACGAAGGAAACGCACAGAGTGAAGCGAACCCTCTCAGATCAGAAGAGCCTTCTGATTATAAATTTTTCTCTGATAGCGATGATGATAGTGACAAGGGAAATGACGTTTTGACCATGAAACGTAGAAACCACGATATAGTTGGTTTCGACAAATTTGAGTCAGAAGAAGCATCGGTGTCAGAACAATTGAAAAAGAACAAAAACAAAGCCTTGACCAAAGTAAAACAAGCTAAAAGGATGTTAAAGAAGAAAATTAAACCTAATAAAAAAATTGTTTTCTCAGAAGAAGGAGAGGTATTTCACTTTATTACATATTCATAACAAACAGTTTTTAAAGAAATAATAAAGATGGAGTATGTCGATTCACTTATTTTCAAATGATTCTTCTTACTCACAGATTGAATAAAGAAGGAAACAACCTGTGAGCCATCATTTGAAAAAAAAAAGTGGTTTTTATCGCTTTGATTATGTTTTAAATTTTTAAAATACTGTTTAACCATTTGAAAAAAAGCAAACTGAAAACAGTGTAGTATAATCAATAAGAGAAATGTTCTTAGGTGATTTCTCAGAATTATTTAATATTATATATTAACCATTATATTTTTCAAATTAGCTTTTTAAAAAACTGAATTTTCTTAGCTTGACCATGTTATGGAGATGTGTCAATTTCTAGAGTAGTGCAATGTACATGATTTTTAATTTTAGGCTTTAATTGATCAAGCCAAAGAGAAAGTGACAGAAGCCGGCAAAATGTACGATATATCAGGCGAAGGCTTGGATATAGAAGAAGCCAGGAAAGTAAGTTCATATTGGCTTCAAAGCCTCAGAACATATTTTTAAAAATTTCCACTTTCAGGTGTTACGAGAGGAAGACAAATGGGACAGGAAGTTGTTCAGAGAGAAGCTGATAGCCAGGAGACAGGCCAGGAAGGAGAAGTTAAAAGCGAAAAATAAGAAAACAGACGAAGGCACAGAAGAAAAGGCTCATCTTGATGTGTCAGAAGATGAAGATTCCGAGCCGGACCTTTCCTGGCTCCCGGATCCTGATAAGGTCTATACAGAAAAGAACAGCGACAATGAAGAAAATAAGAACGAGTAAGATTGTAGATTTATTTTTGTTTGAATAAATGTCTGTTAATAAGGGATCATTTCAGGCCCAGAGGACAGAAGCGGAAATTGCCTTCTGATGAAGAGAACGAAGGAAATGAAGATCATGACGATGAACCCATTGACAAAGAAAATGACTTGTCGATAAAAGAAAAAGAAGAATTAGCCCTTAAATTTTTAGAATCTAAAATGTAGATTACAGATTAATTTTATTTTTAAAATCAGAAAATGTCATTTTTCAACATTTTTATCTTTTAAATATAAAATGAACATAATTGAGGGTTGATACTCTACATTCTGCCATAGACACTCCCACATCATATGCTAATAATTACTTTCACTCAACTCAAACTAGGTACACACAACTATTATTACTATACATAATACAATAGAACATCCCTGTTAATTCCAAGAATCGGAACATGGGACCCAAATACTCACTGTTGTGCTCAAGCACAATTCTCAGATAGGGTGGCATTCCTGTACACTCTACGGAGCCAAAGAACTATCTGCACCCTTCAGTTAGGTGGGGCACATTACGTCCCTTACCAATCTGGGAAACAACTGCAATAATTAAGCAGTAGGTCGAAGGGTGTCACAGCAGAGAGGAATGATGTGAAATTTCTCACAAATCAGGGAAACCTGGCCCTGCAATAGTTGCCGAGTTGGCAAGATAAGAAAATTGAGGGGTGTCGCAGTCCTAGACGGAAGCCACAGTATGTTTCCCATGAGCCTGGAAAGCAAAGTTCCAATAGTTGAACAACTGAAAATAAATAACTAACATTGAGTTTATTAAGTGCTGAAGGGTTGTCATAAGGCTAAAAATATGTACTGATGTGGGACATCATAAATCGGGGTTGTGTCAACCATGCGCGACACCCATCTTCGCCGATCGACCCGTGGTGTGGGAACTCCCCTGACTTGATTTTCTTTTCACACTACTCCAGTAGAGAAACTGGTACAAAAAGGGATTATTTGGAAAGTACAATGCTGTGGATGCTGATTGTGGCAAGCATCATTTGGGGAATGTCCCTTTGTTAATAGACTCAGCCCAGATTTAGAATATAAAATATATTTTGCATTGTATAAATTAACTTTTCCAAATCCTAAATGTATTTGTTAAATGTAAACATTGTAAATCCCAGGCCCTGAAAATGATCTCAATAAAAGATCGAAACGTTGGCACGATAAAGAAAATGTTTTTCTGAAACCTACATCACACCCGACCGCATTTCACGATATCTGAATAACTAGAGTTGTAGTTGACTTATTAGATTAAGATTTTGTTGTGGAAAAAATAAAAGTATCCCAATAAATATTCACTGTGAATTTTGAGGTTATTTGAAATTGTTGAGACTTTTTTCATGGTAATTTTTATTAGGAAGACACAATATTAGGATAAAATATTTATTTCAACAGTTCCATCTACTTAAATCTTAATTTACATATACAATTTTTATAAAACTGTTTTGACGCTTATAAATGACAAGATTTCTTTTTAAACTGAAAATAAAAAATCAAATTTGGCATATATTTAAAAATTTAATTCTTAAATTAAAATTATATACCAAAAGCCTTTTTATAGTTATTTACATGATTAAGTAATCGTTACAATGTAGTATACAGTCAGAATATAAATTGATTATAGTACAAAACATAAACAATTTAAAATTATAAAACATCACAACAAAAAAACATCAGTAGCCACCCGCTAAATCTCAAATAAGAGATTGAATTACTTATCTAGAGGAAATTAAGGTAATCAGTTACCTTGTAAATATTAGGGGAAAAGCGTAAAATGTTACATCAGCAGTGTAACATCCTTTGTAGAAATAAAAAAAATGGCTTTAAAAGCTATATAAAAATATAATTGACTTGCAACCCCAATAAAATTTCAATTCATTGCATATGACAAGTAATCAAAAAATTGAGACATCACACAAAAGACACCAAAAATGAAAAAAAAAACACGTGAACCAACCGTTTGTGTTGTTTAAAATTCAGTCAATACAATTCAAGCTTGATTTTAGTTTTTCAAAAAAGAAACAAAAAATGTGACCGGTCTATTCAAAACTTGCCAGGCAAATGTTGGTAACTTACTAATTCAACTATTTAATTTGTCTATATATAAACTTAAGGAGCTAATTTTAAAACCTATATACAGAAGCGTGCTTTTCAGGTCACGTGATCGCATGCCTCCTTCCACCTCGAATCTTGTTAATGAGGTTGCAGATCTTCAGTGCTGGTCCAAGTTTAAGCCCCATGTATTTCATCATCATGTCAGAGTTTAAAAGAAGAAACGCCTTGCCATCGATTTCCTGAAAATGTGCAAACATTAGAACTCTATCCATTAAAAAGAATGTAATAGAAGAACTGAACTTACGTGCCGCCTGAAAAGCTCTGCATGCACTGACAAAACGGGATCAGTAACTGTAATGTGTACAATTACATCTTCAATCGACCATTCAGCAGGATCGGCGGCCAACTTTGGTGGAATAGACTCCGTGGGGGTTGTTGAAGTAGCAGCTTCCAATTCAACTTTAGAAAAACCAAAACAAACACACTTTTGTTTAGTTTAACATATCAAAAGTAAATTGACTAATGGAAAACTTTTGTTGCTATGAAGTGCAAGAAGAGTTTTAATATATTATAACTTTCCATAAGTGATCATCACTCTGGAATGGGGTTTTTGTCCGCTTATTAGAAGAGTACACATCTGACCGAAAGAATCTTTTTTTCATACTCATCTTCGAATTGATGTGTCACAATCACAGCCTGTATACTTTTCCCCCTGGTGACCAGTCTCCCTTTCTTTCATTGAAATATAAATGATCTTTTGTGGATGGACCTTTCTTTATTTTCAAGCCTCGAAAAGTGCACACCCTTAACCTTTTTGGAATAGTGATGAATTATCTTGTTCAGGCTTGTATACTCCCCAGGACCAGTGATGAGTTATCCTGTCTTCGTGGATTTTAATCTTTTAGGAGTAGCTGGTCACTCATGGCATTTATTGGGCTAAGGTTGTATCCAATGTGTAGTACACACCTCGGTAGTGAATGGAAACCTACCACACATTTCCTTTCACACCATCATTATCTACATGCCTTTTCTGTTTACACTGGTAGTCTCTCCTAAACTTTTGTGAAATTGTGGTTTTTTTGGTCTCAACCCACTTCAAAAGGAGTTTCTTGACTTCAAATTCACACACATGTTGCAAGCCCCCCAAAAATCAGTAGTACAATAAGCTGTAGTATAATAATAATAATTAAATAAAAATAAAATAAAAAAGCAGTTCTTTACTTATTTCTTCAGGCGTCATATTCACCTTTCCGAAAAGGCTTACTGTGTGACAAAAAAATAGGGTTTTATAATATCATGTTTGTAAGAGAGGAAAGTGGTTTTTTTTTTGCCCCAAAATCAATTTTTTATTTTTTTATTTTCTCGCCTCGATCAGCTTCCTTTTCTTGTGAGGAGGTGTGTAACCTTGTAATAAGATGGATACATTTTTATTAGTTAAAAAAAATTGGTGAAAATCAGCAATGAGTGTTGTTACTACGAGCGTGTATTTAGTGCTGGGGATTAAGAGATAACGCGATCGCTTGGACCGTGCCAGAGGTCGCCGAAGAGAACAGTGCGGTAAACACCTACGAGTGGGCAAAACGAATAGAGATTCTTTGGAAAACGGCTCGTCCGGATTTTATTTTCCTTCGTGGGTATTTCCATTTTTGGAGTTTCCACCGGGCGCCTTCCTCACCAGACCACGGCGACGACGAGGACTGTCTGTTCGCGGTTTTCGGACAGGATATAGAGGCGGCCCCAATTCTCTGGAGATTTTCTCTTTATTTGGAGCGGGTTTCGGCAGGACTGGTGCCCAGGAGGACTCGGCGGATGGTTGTGGCTGGACCTGTGATTTCCAAGTAAAATTGTTGGTTTACGGGAAAGACTGCATGAAGAAGTGATTTTTGTTTGTTTTAATTTTAGCGATTTTCTATTGTTAATTTAGATGATTAAGTTTTAATTCTTTTAAGTTAGTCCAGATCTGGTTTATTGTTTATTTTATAGCTGGTTAAGGAAACAAAGTACTTATTTTAATTTCACTCTGCTTAGGAATAATAAATCGCCCCATTGTTAAGAGGATTCTCATTTCTTTTTTTTGTGTTTTATTTCCCTCCTTATATACTATAATCATATATATAATTATTATAACCTCCTTTTCTTTGTTTGGCTTGATTACTTTGCATGGCCAGGTACCTCGTAAATATATGAATAATCATTTAAGCAGAGGGAATTCGAATGCGATAAGGAGAAGGTAAGGTTGCTGATCAGGCCCCGCCGTGTTAGGCTGGCTTTATCCTGGCCCAAGCCTAGTGGCCTTGCCTGGAGTGCACCCCCCCATGGCGAGTGTCCGCCATGGAATAAAGTAAATCATTCATTTTTTTTAATAGAAAATACTACTTTCCTCTCATATATTGATAGTTTTGTTTATTTATTTATTTTTCTCAAATTTATTTAGAGTACAAACAAGGATATATTTTTTAGTTAAAGGAGTTCCCCATTACTCTGGACGCATAAAATGGGGTGGCGCCCAACTCACCAATATTTCTTTGGTTTTTAATATTTTTTTTTAATTTTTATTTTATTTTTTTAATATATTTTGTGTATTGCCCCTCCACTCTTACCCCCCCACTCCCGACGAGCTACCGGGATAAATTTTGCTCTGACCCGAAACAACTTTTGGGTGTAACAACTGTTTCCAGGCCCGAGCTTTGCAGCCAAAGGACATGCTATGATTTCTCAATTTCTTCATGTCAAAGTCAGCAGGTTTCTGGCTCAAATGGTTTCAAATTTTTTTTCAGGTGTAATTAAATGTAGTTCCTGTCTACCGAGGAATATATTTTTATTTTCACGGTTGAAATGTTAATAAACTTGTTAATAAAACTTAATAAACTGATTGTTTTGTATCGGGTGGATTTATCCAGTGTGTGGTCGTTTCTTTCTCCAACTATTTGTTCAGTTCCACACTTTAGCATGGGGTGTGCCAAGCCAATTTGCAGTTCCCACCCGATGGTTGTGATGGTACACAAGTCTTTACTATTGATTGTCAGCCTGTCCATTTTCTTTAAACTCCTTATGTCCTGGGTTACTTGTTTTTTAGCCAGAGCTGGAGATATGATAGGTATGGACCTCAGCATGGAAAATTGATGGTATGGGGCCTAGAGGTTCGCTTTCACTCCTTGCCGCATTTTTTGTTCTATTTAAGATGCATTGTGCAGCATAATTAGTTTCAGGATTTTTATTCTTCTAAATATCATTTGTTGTTATTTTTATTTGAAATTTTTTATTTTGTTATATTTTAAAAACTACATTAATGATTATAGACTTATTAGACCAATTAAATACATCCAGTGAACTTAAAAGTGAGTTTTACGTTAATCCAACAGAAAAATATTTAGAGTGAAAAAATGTAAACGGTCAAACTATAAACTATAATAAAAAATAAAACAGTACAAATAACCAGGCATAAATTTGGAATCAATCAATTCTCTTCAAAGTGTTATTGCATAATCAAATTTAATAAGTTGTAAGAAAAATTTACCTGGTACTGTTTTCCGAGGCTGTTTTACGACACAATGCTTGGTTATGCTGTCTGAAGAACTTTCAGCTGAACACCTTCTTTTGTTACCGTTGACTGTAACTGAATTAACAGCAGCAGTGGCCTTTCCAGGCGACGTTTTGCTTTCAACCGTGCTCTGAACTTGATTTTCTGGTGTTTCTAAAACACAAATTTTCAATGTAATGTATCGAAAGGGGACAAAAAGTTGAGATAAAACCTTTTTTCCTGTTGCAACATTTCTGGCATTGTGAGTTGGGAGACGGGGAAAGAAAGTTAGCACAGCAAAGCAGTTCTTCGCAGAGTAAATTGATTGTCGACCACATTTCAGATTCTTTGTTAATCGGGGCAAGTTGACAAGAAACTGATTTATTGTCAAAAGATGCTATAGTTTTTAAAAACAATTTTTTAATTAATAAATCAGTAATCATTTAGATAAACTGTTAAAAAATAATTTACCAGTGATAATAATTTTTCCATTTCCTTCTCTCAACATGTTAAAAACTTGCTTTTGGTCAAGGGCAGAATCAATTAAGTTCTGTATACACTCACGAGCGACTTTGTTTATCAAGCCTGGCCCAAACTGGCTTGGGAACTCTGACAGTTTTCGTGGATCGAGATACGGCCCACACCAACATGTAATATTAACGAAAATGCTGACTACAACAAATTTACAATAGAAAAAAACAATGAACACGACAAATTAGTTTAATTTGGTATTACTGTTTTTCCTAGGGATAAACTTATGCCGAGGCATTTTTTAAGTAGCAAATGCATGTTGGAAATAGATCGATTAATAGACTAAACAAGATTTATGAATCATTCTAATGACAGAACGTTCGGGGAGAAAATATGATTCAGCAAAACAAGTAAAAGCTATACGATAAGAAAAATAGTAATACTATAAGTACATCATTTATAAAAGGCAAGTTACCTGATGTTGTAACTTTGGTCGAAGAAGATACATTGTCTGATGATGTTGAACTTGGAGATATCGATGAAGGCAATGTGACAGGAGGCAGGGTCAAACCGGGTGAAGCCGCATTTGCCGAGTCGCTAGACATAATTGGATAACTGCACACTTTCGCTTTGAACCGACTTGGACCTGTTACACCTAAAAAGATATATTCTTGTCATTACAAATACTAACAGTGCTAGAGAAAAATAATTATTCTATTAACTTGATACATTTCAACATAATTAAATAAACAAAATAATGAATTTCCAGATTATACTGAATTTGAAGAGCAATCTTCGGGTAGAGTTAATTATCACAAAAAAATCATTCTTGAATTATTTAACAAGGCATCCTAATCAAAACCAATCCTTTCTGAAATTATTTTTTGTGAGCATAACACTGTTTTAAATTAATTTTTGATTTCTAATCTAAGAAAATTATTAAATACCAATACCACTGAGTTAGTATTGGGTTGTCTGGAAAACAATGCAGGTTTACGGTTGTACAATAAAAAGAATTAAATAAATTATTTTAATTTTTTTAAATAATTAAAATACCCTCTATCACTCTCAAAACATTTTTCCCAATGTGATGGTAACTTCTCTATACAAATTGAATTTTACGTCTTTGTAAACAAATCCTGTAAACACGTTTTCTAACGTCTTTTGTTCAATAAATTTTTTATGCTGTACAACATTGTCCAGGTATCTGAAAAAATAGTCAGTACGCAAGAGACCTGGAGGATAGAGAGGGTGAGGCAGAACCAAGATGCAATGGTTTTTGTGTTGTCACATGTGAGACATTGGGCCGAGCGTTGTCGTGTAACTGAATCGGCCTTTTCCAATTGACCAAATGTGGCTTCAATAATACTAATTTCTAGTGCATTGCTTCAATTTGAGAGCTATACATTTCAGCGCTGATTGTTTCACAAGAATTCAAGAAGCTGAAGTAATCAGCCCAAATGAAGCCCACCAAAGAGTCACCATCACCTTTTTTTTGATGAGTTGGATGCTTTGGAAAATGTGGTGTTGCTTCTCCTTTGTCGAACCACTGTACAGAACATGTGCTGTTATTAAAGAGAATCCACTTTTCATGAACAATTCTATCCAGAAAAGGTTCTTTTATTTTGGCAAAGATGTGTTGAGCAAACTTCATAACTTTTTTTTAAATCGTTTAATGCATGGGGAACTCAACTTTTGAGGTTTTTCATCTTTCCAATTGCCATGTAGTCAGCAATGGTCAATTTGCTAACTGAGATTCTCTGCACGCTTTTGAACAAAACTTGCGATTTTCTTCGACCAAACTTGCAAGAACATCATCTAGAGAAGAAATCCTTCTACGACCTTCTTTGCCCTCAAGACTAGTCTCCCTCTTGAAATTGTTTAAACAATACCTGAATGGTGCTCTCACTCACATCGCCCCAGACTTCATGTTTCTGGCTGTTTAGGCATCGTTCCGACTGAGTTTAAACTCGTAAAAAGAAATTACATGAAAATCATGTCATCAAAAGCACATTGACATCTTTCTAAAGACAGAATTATTCCCAATTAATGAAATGCTACTGAGATAAACATTTTTGTGTTGACATTTGTACAAAAGAATAATCCATCAATTTATTAAATAGAGGGGTAATTGAAGGAAAACATGAAAACCTGTATTATTTTCCGGACAACCTACTATATAATTATAATAAAGCAATGAGGCTCTTAGAAAGAAATCAAATAAGTTAAATTTATTTAAATATGTGATAGAATAATATAACTTTATATCAAATTTGGCAGAAAACAAAACTTTATGAAAGACAATTTGGATATTTGAATATCTTTGTATATAATTGTGAGCGTCCAAAACTCTGATCATAATTACAGCCAAACTGCTCCACGGATTTTTTGGCTTACATGAAAACCCTGACCTCAAATTTATTTAAAAAATTAACAAAACTATAAATTATTAATAACGAGGACGATAAATAATGTAATAATGGCACTGGAATTCAAACTTTGTTAGTCATCCGTCGGGCTTTGACCATTGTGTATGTCTCTCTGCCTTGCAGTTACACTTACAGTACTTTTTAGTACTAATATTGTGTTATTGAGTATTATTTTTTTATATTATTGGTGTTTTTTAATCGTGCATTGTATTTTTGTTGTATTAATAAGAGGCCTGTAAATAATCACAACTGTTCTACTGTATTATATTAGTGGAAATGTTCAAACCCGAGCAGAGCTTAATACTTTGATTAAAAAAATATATATATTTAACTCCTAAAATTATTTAATTATTTAACGCCTAATTTAACTCCCAGAAATACAAGTCAGTTTGGAGTTAAAGGAACTATAACTTAATTGTCCAGATTTTGTGAACAATATATAGAATTACAACAGCACAATGGCATCTGCCTCTTTTTCTGCCACAAGAAAAGAAATTCCAGGAGTTGAACTTTACTGTTTTAAAATCCAAGAACAGATTCGCCAATGCATATTTTGCCACATGAGAGTGAAGTTTCGTCATATGGTCAATTATATTTTATAGACAGCCCTTAGTAGTATTTTGGCTACAAACCCTACACGGCTGCAGCTCAAACCATGGAAGACGAAAGTTTTAAATAGACTTGCATTTTGTTGATAGTGTACCAATGGATGTGTGTAGATTTAACAAACATACATAAGAAATAACTGGAGTTTTCCATTTGTAGGAGTACCACCAGGCTATTGACATCATTGTGCACTATTGTCAAAACAGTCCAAATTTAATTTCTGTTTTAAGCCCTCATTTTGATCCCATATTGTACCCACTGATCTAACCCTGTAGTGAGCCCAAATGACCCATAATAGCATTAGGAAACAAAACTGTTATGAACTGCTAACAATGTTACACTTTACTTCCTAACGACTTGATTCTGACTATTGAACTGCCCCAACCGGCTATTAGTTTTGAAGGAAAATGAAGAGTTTTATAAAAAGTAAATTTTGCTTAATTAATTGAATTGAATTCATTACCTTTTTGACCTGGCGGTTGCAATGGATGACCGCTCTTGGCGCACCATCCAACTGGAAATATGTCTCTTGAATTATAATTGCACCAGTAATCAAAGGCACCTCTCCAGCCATCAAATGTAACGTATATTTGATCTCCCTTTTCAGCACCTGTAATCAACCATTTTTTTCTCTCTACTTCACTAATAATTCAAACAAATTACTTACCGACCGTAGCAGCACAAATGAGCTGGGGGTTTTTCCTGTCGACAGCTTCCAGTTTCATACCGACTTTAAACATGTTCGTCTTTGGAGAAGGGGTTTCCTTTTGGAATATTTTGGCGGGTGCCATTTCAGCCCCATTGAGAGTTTTCAATAAGAACATCGGCCAAGATGAAGCATTCATTCTAAAACCTGTAAACATCATTTTAAATAATTTTCATTGTTTGAAATACATGACACTTCTTTCAATACCTAGAGGTGGTTGAAGCATACCACCGTGTTTTTCGCAATATCCGATTGGATGAATTTCATTTGAATCGACTAGCCTCCAAAAATCATTTTTATTGTCACTTCCATCGAGCCTGAGGCGTAACCTCGGACCAAGCACTCCTACAACTGAAGCGATGCAAGTTGAAGTTAAATTTCTTGGGTCCAAAGCTTCGAGTTTCATGCCAATTTTAAACTCATTCGGAGGAGGAACTTCACTCTAAAAAATGTATATAAACATTAACAAACCTGTCAGTCATGTAAATAAGATAAATAAAATTACTTGTTGAAAACATTCTTGTGGAGCTGCAATACTGTCTGTCTCTTTAAGGTAAGCGTCCCAATCGAAGGTCTGGAATGGAACAAGAGGGAAAGACGGAGTTCCTGCAGGGGTGGATGTTGTGGTTGTCGACGATGGGGTAGCGGGCTGAGCCGAAGGAATAAATGCTGGAGTCGATGGTGCTGGTGGTGTAGCTACCGGGGAAGTCGGAGTCTGTCCTGGTGCAGGTTCTTTTTTAACTTTCTCCACAGGGGTATCTTCATTCCCTAAAATATATCACAACAATAAAGAAAAAATTTGTTTCCTTCAATTTCTAAATTTTACAAATACCTTCAAGTTTTTCTTCTGAAATTTTATTCTTGGATTTGTACCCTTCTAAGCATACCTTCGAACAAAAGTTCAAATTTGGAGAATCTGCTATTTCAAGTCGGATAGGAACACTCCTTATAACATTATCACATTGAGAACAAGCGCACTGGAAATAATATTATAAAATGCTTAATAAAATATATACTGAAAATGTATAATTATACAAAACCAATCATCTCTAACCATCCCTTACCCCAGAATATAAATGCAGAAACTATATTTTTGCCCAAATCTGTAGGAAAATGCTAGAAACAAAAATCATAGGAAAAAGGGTGGCATTGTGTTGGGTGAAAGGGCATGCAGGCTTATGGCAAAATGAAACGGTGGACGCACTTGCAAACATTAAAAAAGCCTTACAAACCACCAATAAAAATCACAATAGTGCTAATCAAGGTACACGGAAAAAATAAATAAATCACCAACCTAGTTAAATAAAAATAGTCAGATATATTAAAAATACTGAAATTATGTTTTTGTTAAGTTCTTGCCAAGAAAAATAATCATGAAATAAAAATAAATATTTTAACCTTTTCAGTTATTATGTTCAGTTTTGCACTTTGTAAATTGTATGTAAATGTAGTTTCTTTTTTTTACGATACAAATGGACACTTCTAACATTCTTTTTCCTAGTCAGTTCTCAGATTGTGATCATGACAATTTGATTCGGAAATGAGTGCAAAAAAAATTCATTCTGTCAGAGTAAAGATTGAAGTCATTCAAGTCCATGAGAAAGAGAAAATAAGTTTCGATGTTCATACGTTTGAATTCATTTTTTACTATCACTTCATAATTTCTCACATGTGAACCCTTCTAACAAGCGGACGACATCCAATTCCCAAAAAGTGTCCTCTTATCAGAAGTTTGACTATATTTCAAGGCAGCTAGCCTCTTCAGCATACACAATTTCTTTTCAATAAATCAGGTGGGCCTACAAATGGGGTGAGGCACCTAACACTATTGTGTTTCAGTGAAATCCAGTTGTGCAAAATTTTACATATGCATGAGTTCAATATTATACAAATTGAGTACATAAATTGAGATATTTGTTTTTCTTTTCCTTCTTATTTACCATTATGGTGTAGGTTATTTTGAAATAAGCTAAAATTAGAAGGAATAGTCTCAAATAAAATTCGGAGGGCAATGCATGGTAAATATGAGAATTCAGCCACTGCTCTGACCTCTCTATAACCATACATGGTTACAACTAAAGCCCAGATTTATAAGCAATAAAAATCCTTAAATGTGCACTAATAAAACCTGAAATTATGCCATATAATATACATTAAAAACGCCTAAACATGCTATATAATTTACACTAAAAAATTAAACTACACAGCATGAATGTCAGAGACATCACCAAACTAATATTATTTTTAAACCTATATGTATTGTTTTCTTTTTGGATTAATAAATATTCATTTTAAAATAAGTTTTGAAAATAGGTCCCTCAATACGAGGTCGATTATTCAAAAAGAATTATAACATTTTAGTTTATTTACGTTTTTGGTCCTGGATCGTTAACTGAAACTTGAATAAAATTTTAGGCTTTTTTCTCACGTTCTTAGTTGCCTAATTAATCTATATTTTTTAAGCATGTAATTAAAAAAATTTCAGGTTTGCAATAGCAGAATAAAATTGGAACCTTTGTACATGGGAAATATGGTTCGAATAAATAGATGATCACCATAGTCATATGTGTTGCAAACAGAATATACAACTGCAAACAAATCCGGGCCCTAGTTATAACAAATGTTCAAAACTGTCCATGTCATAACATCAAATACAAAACAGTTGATTAAAAATAGTAAAGTAATTTTTCTAAGACATTTGAATTTCATAGTTTAGTTGTTCCTGATCAAACTGGACTGACAAGTCCACCATTGAAGAGATATATTTCCAGACCAAAACATAGAGGATAATTAGAGAAAAATGATCATTAATGACATATATTTAATGACAGTTCAAAAAATCTCTAAACACCTACTGGATTGGTTTGCCCAAAATATGAATTCCAAATTTCTTATTGTAAATCATAGGATATAAAAAAATTATTTTGTAAATTTTATTGTATTATTTAAAGGCTTTTGAATATTAAAAAATAAATGATTAATTTAAATGTTATTTGTTTTCATAATAATTTTGAATATGTTAATCGAGAGACAAAAAAATTTCTCGGATACTTAGGTAAACGCTTTTGTTTTCCAAAGTTCCCTGTCTACAGCCTGATTCTTTGTTTACTTTGCGCAATATTCTCTTAATAATAATCACGTTTTGCTTAGTTAGTACAATATTAGCCTTCAATATGTAAATTCCGCAGTCCACTCACGGAGTAACTGTTAGATTATATAATTTATGTAATGAAGGAAAATCATTCCATGAAATAGGAATTACACTCAAAGTGACCCTCGACAATTCCTTACATCCTCTGCCAGTATAAGGAGCTGCTGAAAACAGACTGCATTAAGGCCAGCCAGAAAAATTAAACACCATCCAAAAGGGTGCCATTCTCAAAGAAGTAATCACAACCCATCAAAAAGTGCCCTGAAATTGCAGGTATTCTTTCACGATTATATTTCAGTTAACCTCAAACAATATGAAATCAAGGCATGCATGGATGCAATCCTAGAAAGAAACTCTACTTACTCCAGTTAGTTAAAGGCTACTTAAATGCAGCCAGATGTATTTTGGGAGACTCTTATTTTTATCAATAAGAGCAAATTTATGTCTCAGCCAAGGAAATATTTGAAATTAAAGAATACACTACCAATGGTTAAATATAGGGGGCAGTGCTTGTTTGCGGCTGCCCATGCTATAGAGGAGTTGGTAATTTACACATAATCAATGTGATCATGGACCAATACGACTACGATATTCTAAAATAGATTTTAAAGTAAAGCACTAAGTATCTACAGAGGGATAACGTTAATGATGTTTTACTCGCAGATATACCAACAGCATCTACAAGATGGTGACTGATATTTTGGGAATAGGTAATGCTACAGATTTTCGTAAATTAAAAATCAAGGCTGTACAAGTTATAAAACATCCAGACACCAGGAATTGCATGAAAGTGACTTTTCAAAAAGTGTATGGTGATTAGCACTCTTAACATGACACGCAAGAATGGCACAATTACACAGAAGACAAACACTTTGAGCCTACATCACACTAGACCGCATCTCACGATTTCTAAATAAAAATTAAAATTGTAAATTAACATTATTTATTAATTTTAATTTTTGTTATATGTGACATATCTATTTGTATTTAATTCACCATTAGCCAATTCATTATAAATAAAAATAAAAATTATTTAACAGGTTTCTTTTTTTTATGTTGCACTAAAAGTGAAACACCTCTACCCACATTGCATGGCCACTTCGATAATCAACGCAACAGGTTTTTTTTTGGTGTAGCAACGAAAAATGAAACACAGAAAATAAACAAACTCAAAAATGAATAGGGATATTGCCAATTTTGTAGCATTTACAACAAACCATTTTTATTTTATTTTTATTATTAACTGCATTAAAATTTATTTAGAATGATTATGTTTTTCCTGAAGGAAAATTAAATTATTATTGGGGACCGCGGTAGCCGAGTGGTTAGCATGAGAGACTCTCACGCTGCGGTCGTGGGTTCGATTCCCACCGTCGCCTCTGGCCCTTTTTTCCCGATAACCCCCCCCCCTAATTTTAACACACATATAAGAATTGTCACCATGGCTAATATGCTAGATCATAACGCCAAGAAAAAAAAGAAAAGAAAAAAAATTAATTATTGGATTTTGAAAAATAACCAAATAAAAGGTTTTAATTCTATAATTTTGTTTACTGGGCACAAATTTTTTTTAAACAATTAATACCATGTATAATGTCCTGTAAAACCACTGGGCACCTGTTACGCATACTGTTAATAAGATTGTCTCTAATTTCATAAGGAATTTCTCTTGAATCTTCCTTTCACCCATGTAAAGCAGGAAATATGATCTTTTTCATGTACTTTATTGAAAAACTTTTGGTTCCAGTGTAAACTACCATTCAAAGAGACCTTGACTACTTTCAATTTTAAAATAGAATACTTCAGTGGCAAAGTATAAAGTTTTGAGATCAGGATGGTCATTTTACTGAAGGATAATCACGTACAAAGCCGTAACAAATAATATATAGGAAAAAGAGAATTGATTAAAAATGAAATATGGATATTAAAATTATTAATTAATTTAAACAATAAATACATGAAAGCTACAAAACTGATCTTGTTTACTCAGTTCAGATTTGTATTAGAGAGGTAATAACGGGTAAGCTCTTTCACTTGTGAACATAAATCAATACATGAACATACTATAGGAATACAAACATCAAGATGCAGCATTGAACATATTATCATAATATAATAAATAACAAGTAATTCTATTATATAGAAATTTATACTAGAAATTACATACTAAAATGTAGCTGGAACTCGTACCCACTCAAAGTGCAGTGAAAGAAAAATGATCAAGAAAAAGGACAAATACATTAGATAGTTTGGTTGGAAATATAACAAGGATAATTGTTAGAATCAGTGACTACAAATGATAAATCCTCATAAATATATTGATATAGTAGCTAAAAACTTGGAATCTCGGTCAATTAAAACAAAAAAGTATAACAAATGAGCGCAATCGGTTATGACACAAACCCAATGCTTAGATAAACACATAGACTCAATCAACGAACACGGTTAACTGCGGAAACACTCCTGGTCGAAGGATCCAACAAGAATAAACGTATCAGGATATTCAGATCGATCCAATTTATTTGTAATCAGAGAACTATCAGATCATTTAAATCTTTACACGAACTAACATATCTGATATCACTAAATTGCAATAATTACAAAAAATTGCTTGTTGAACGCTCTTTCTTATTTATCATTTTATTGGATTGGAATTCAATGTTCAATGTGGGTTTTCATTAAAACGCTACGAATGTTTAATTTCTAAATTATTATTTATTTAAAGAAATGCAATTCAAACAGTATTGGCATATTCAAGAAGGTTCTGTACTATTTCTGACAACTTGGCTTTAATCATTTGCAGTTTTTTTCCCCCCAATGTACAACCTGTATATCATGTTTATTGATTTATCGTTTCAAATAATACAAAGGTTTGCCTGGTTGATAAACTATTTGCCACAAAGTATTCAATGAGTACCTCAGACAGAAGGATTAAAAAAAAAAAAATGAGGGAACAATGGAACTCACTCTGCACACAAACAATCTAAGAACCTTGTAAAAAAATTTGGAAAGAAAGAAGTAATAGAATGTATCAAAGGAAGTAGGAAAAACTGTGAATCCTAACAGGATACTGCAAACTAAACAGACATTTAAAGAAGATTGGTATAATCCAAGAGGGCACGTGCAGTTCCTGCAAAGAAGCAGAGGAGACGGCAACACGAACTGTGGTGCCACACTTGCCCACAGGAGGAAATGCTTTGGGATGTACAATGTGACTGTAGAACAAGAGATTCAACCACTGAAACCGGGCCTACTAATCAGGTTCCTTGATGAAATATGACTCACCGGTGTGCATTAGGCACAGAACAGAGGATACAATAGCTCTTAAAGGGTATATTACACCACAACCAATACATCTATCAAGTGTAATGAAGCTGTAGTATGTGTTTGGGTACTAAAAATTCTTATCAGTTTCAGATTTAGACACAATTTAACTTGTTATGTCAGTGTAGTGTTTTATATAATATATTTTTTTTAATGGTACCTTGTGATATCCCTTGCGGAATTCTGAAAGGCAAGTTTCAGAGCAGAACTCTTTTTTTCCGTACTGAGTCGGCAGGATGTACTTCAGCGACACTTTCGTCTCCGAGCACCAGTGACAGCTCGGTTTATTTTTCGCAGGCCTCCCTTTAGAACATAAACAGAAGGGATAGAACCAGTTTTATTTTGTGATTTTATCAATTGAATTAAAAAAATTTATATTATTAAAAAAATTGATTCGGGAGGGTAAATACCTCTTCCTTTCGTTTGGCCGGTCGACATTTCGATAAGCCGTTCGCTCGATTCGGATATCCAGGCGAGCCGCCGATTAAAAATTCATCGGCCGAACGGCACGGCGAATTGATTAATGTCGTGGAAACGAGGCGTTGAAAACGGCTTCCACTCGAATTCGGCTCAACGACCAAAGCATCTCAGGGCCAAGGGCCTTGAGGAAGAATAATACATACAGGGCGGAATCGCGTTTCTCCACCTGACGGAGATCCGAGTGTGCAGCCGAAGCCGAACAATAACAATAAACTTCAAAACTTGGACAAATTCTGTCCAGTGTTGCCCCTTGACACGTGTTGAATAAAAACTAAGATTTTTAAAAAACCTCTAATTTGATTTACAATTTTATATTTTAAAGTAAACAAATTATTACACCGAATCATTATCGCTTTTAAGTCTTGGTATAGTATTAATTATTTTAAATCAACTTTAGAATTCAGAGAGGGGCTCTTTATTTCCTGGCAAGGCCTGCAATTAAAACCTTTAAACCACATTTTAATAGGAAACTATTAAATCGTACAATTATAAATAAATTGACTATATTGAAGTAATAAAACTATAATTTATTATTAAATATTAATTTTGATTTAGTTTTATGTTTTTATTAGTCATTCAATCTACATATTTCACGACATTCCAAAAAAAAATTACATTTTATATTATTAAAGGGTTTTATTTACAATAAAACTGTTATTTATTTATTGTTTTTAATTTAAAAATAATATTATTGAGATTATTAAAATGTTAATTAATAATGTTATAATGTTAATAATGTAAATTAATTATGTTTTTAAAAAATTTAATTTTGTCGGAAATAGATTCTTTGTACTTCTAGATCAAGAAGGCAGTGGCTGTGTGAATGTTCACGCATCGGCCAGGTTTCACGTTTCCTCCAGTTCTTCGTACGGGAGCTTTCGTTTCACGTGATTTTTGTGAGAGGTTAAAGTTAACAAAAAGGACTAAACATGGGTCGTATGCACGCACCTGGGTAATTTAGCTATATTTATTATTTATATAATAAAAATTGAAAAAAAAGAAAAGTGAAAAAGTCGGTTAGTCGATCGGCGTGTTGCGGTACCACACAGCACATCCGCCCTGACTGCCGAGTTTTTATGTATACATTTTGTTGATCTTTTATTAATTAATTTTCCTTGCAGAAAGGGTATTTCCCAATCCGCACTGCCGTACCGTCGCAGCGTCCCGACCTGGCTCAAGTTATCGGCGGACGACGTCAAGGAGCAGATCTATAAGCTGGCGAAGAAGGGCCACACGCCATCCCAGATCGGTAAGACCCCATCTTTAATGGTACCTGTCCGGTTGAGAGTACTCGCTAATGGACACGCTTCTGTGAGTGCTCAGAGGAAAGTGGCGGGCGACTCAGAGAGTGGACTTGTATCGCTTGCTCCCTAATCAAAACTTTCTTCACTCTCTGAGAGCAGCTCACAAAATAAGTGTAATGACCGAGATAGTGATGAGATTTTGGAGGTGCTGTAAAGTTCTCCGTATTATCCTCATCACTCCCTTTTATGTCACCAATCAAATGATCCATAAAGACCTTAAAATCCCATTCCTGAAGGAACACGCTTCTTCAATTTCCACTTTAAACTATCCCTCCACCCTATCCGCTAGCCTAACCTCTTTCCTTAACATACCACTCTTATCATCCTCGACACCATTTAAATCGATGGGAGAACGAGTTTCAAGTTTCACCCTTTAACATCTATTTTGATATCCACATTCTTTTTTATTATTTATAATTTATACTTTTGCAACAGTTCTTTTTCATATACAATCAAAATATTTCTTCATGTGGAGGACTACAGCTTCATCCAAGAACTGTAAAATACATCAGTTTCTTCTGATTTTCAGAATGTACCTTGTAGTACATTGTCTATTGGATTCATTATTCTAATACATAAAATGCATGTTATTGATATTGAATTTGATTTATGATATTAGCATTGCCGCAGCTGAGCAAACATATGTCTTTTCTGTAATTGGTGCTTAGTTTTAATAAGTTACGTTTATGTTTGTTTTGTTCTGTGTTTAATATTTTTGGATTGTTGAAATCAAAATTGTGTTGGTGTTAAAATGGTGGGTAGCTGCTGTACGATTTTGTTTGGATTTTTTGCAATCATAGATACATTGTTTTAACCTCTTATCCAGATATTGGGATGTAATTCCGATGTTGCCAGACAATTTATACAATTGATTTTGAAAAGTAAATTATTAAAATTTAATTTACAAATAAACATACATAATTATATAATGTATATTACATTATATAATCTTGTTTAAATAAGTGTGCGCGCGCGCGTGCGTTTGTGTGTGTACACATTCATATAAATTCATGATACATAATAAAAATTACATGTTACATAAATAAATATAATATTCTCATAATTTCTGAACTGATGTATGTCTTCCAGCTAATTAATTTCTTTCGAGTAAGTGTATGCTTATACCAAAATTATTTTGTCTTGTGATCCATGGCTTAACCCGGGCCCTTATTTTATTAATTTTCTTCCTTTTGTTTAAAATGTTGCTTTTCTGTCACAATGCCATCTTACCTACCACTGTCAATAGTCGACTGGATCGACTGTGGACACTTTCTTCAGAGTTTTCGCGAGAAAATTGATGGAGAGTAGCTCCTGAGAAACACTTAACTCTGAGAGTTGCTATCAAGAGTTCTTGAGCGATTTACTCTTAAGTGGACAGGCACCTTCTTCCTACCTAAACCTTTTAGTATGGCCAACTGACTAGGAATTATTCCGATAATTTTCAACATACGACCCTTAAAATCCTCGACACCATTTAAAACAACGAGGGGATGTGTTTCAAGCTTCACCCTTTAAGATCTATTTTGTTATCCACATCCTTTCTTATTATTATTTATCATTTATACTTGCAAAAGTTCTTTTTTTTTATACAGTTTCTTCATGTGGAGGACTACAGCTTAATCCAAAAACTGTAAAATAAATCAGTTTCTTTTGATTTTTGGACTGTACTTTAATACATTGTCTATTGTATTCATTACTTTGGCAAGAAGCTTGTTATAAATATTTTTCTTCATATTTTCTCTTATACATACCAAGAATCCTTATATTTTCCAATTTAGCCAGTTTATTTTGAATTAGGAAGACTTATTTTGTCTGGCATAGCATAAACTCTGCTCAGTCATTTATGATAAGATTGTTTTTTTGTTTTCTCACAGTGATTGACTTAGACCTAACAGATCGAGTGTAAATGTTTAAATAAATAAGTTCATGTATTCGTTTTTCTGTGTTACAAATCATTTCTTTACTTTGCTGTTAAATTAATAACTGTTGTTAAAATTTAAAGGTGTCTTACTCAGGGATTCACACGGTGTCGCCCAGGTGCGATTTGTCACAGGAAACAAAATCTTGCGGATAATGAAAGCGATCGGTCTTGCACCCGATCTTCCCGAGGACTTGTATTTCCTCATCAAAAAAGCTGTTGCTATCAGGAAGCATCTTGAGCGAAACAGGTATTTGATTTTTTTTAAATTAAATTACTTCCAACTTAATGTACGTGTGTTTTTAGGAAAGACAAAGACTCAAAGTTCCGTTTGATTCTCGTTGAATCGAGGATCCACAGGCTGGCCCGCTACTACAAAACAAAGGGAACCCTGCCACCCGTTTGGAAGTATGAATCGAGCACAGCGTCTGCCCTTGTTGCATAATTTTTTTTAAACAAACGATTTAAATACAAAAAAAATTTACACTTTCTGTTTTATTTTATACTGTACCAAAAATACATTTAATACCCTCATAAACTTAAAAATATGGTTTATAATAATGATTAACTTAATGGTTTAAAGGCTTTTTGAAAGAAAAAATATATATATGTATACATACATCTTTATAACTTTCTTTTACAATGTTTGATCACATTGCTTCTAATCGCCGCTGTTACGATACCAATACTTTCAACAAAGTCAACAGCAATAATGTTCGCTTTTTCTGACCATTCATTGTGAAACTCTAACGTGAGGTTAGTGTTGACGGTGTTAGCCATTTTTCTCAGCCCTCCCATCAGATCAAATATGACTATCAAAGATGTCGGTGTTAACTCGGCCATCATTGCACTGCATTCTTTAGATTTGGTCGGACTTAAAAATAAATAAATTGTTATGATTATAAATAATTTTTCTTCTTTTTTTTATAATTTGTCTCACTTGAGTAACCGTGATTGCAAGTAGCTATACAGACTTGATAACGACTGTTTGTCTCCCCAGTATTGTTTTACGGGCGGTTTCATGAATTTTTGATTTGAATGAATGTTTCTTGTGCTGTAAGAAATCAGCAGACGTTTTCCGCTGTTCCAAATGTTTTTAAATGTTGTCTTTTTTTTGTAATTGTGGTAGACCAAATCGTTGAGTTCTTGCTTTAAAAATTTAGCAAACTCTTCGTGGATTTTATCATTGAATCCTAAAGAAAATGAGCTGTAATAGAAGTTTTTGGATTTTTTTTTCTTTTTAATTGTTACCAATAGGGAATCGGTGAAAATCAATGATGACTATTTCATTAGTCTGATTCAAGAACAATTTCACTTGGTCCAGTACTGGTTTCAAAGGCCTCATTGGCAACAAATCATGATTGCACCACCATTTTTCATCAGTGCTGTTATAGTGGCCAATTCTCAGGTCTAAATATCTCACTCCGTGCATGAGTTGATCATAAATGTTCAAGTCCTGTGCATAGAAATTTCAGTAGAGTTTTTGTTAAGAAAGGAAATTCTTTCTAACCTGTGTGTAAAGGTAGTTGTAGATCACTAACGTTTTTCTATTGTTGCCGTAATATGCCGCAGATTGATGCGTACCAGGAATGAATGCCTCATACACATACAAGTCTTCTAAGTATTTTTTATTTGCGTTCATCCATCTAGGGTACTTTTTGAAATATGATTTTGTGACTAAAAATAAACAATTCACATTAAAATTGTCAAATAAATTAAACATAAATTTTGAAACTTTACAAACATTTACCTGTTTTATTTTCTTTTTGAAAAGTTGCTACATATTGCATATCGCCTTGGTCGTCAAAAAATATTCCAGTGTCTAGTTGTCCGCTTTCAGCACTTAATTGTGCTGAGAATAATTTTGTCTCATTGCCATAAAGTATTATTTCATCTCCTGGCCCAAATAACTCGTCATACCAGATTATCCTCATTTCATTTGCAGCTTCGGACTTCGCGTTAATCAAGGGGGATATGACAATTTCCAGATAGATATCATCTGCAGGTTGCAATTACAAAATATAAGATATCGACCGGGGCAATCATAATATAGTATTCAAAATAAGCCTAGAAGAGATGGCCAAGTCCTTCTGGTAAAAAATTTAGGTCAAAAGCATCTCTAACTTTATAGATAGAATGATGGATTTTTCAAATGGGTATTTAATATTTAACCTGTATAATCATGAACTCTGACATAGACATCTTTTCTCTTCCCATTTCTGTCCTGTCTCAACCTACAAGGACCATATGTTATGTGTTAAAAAGATCAAATTTTGATATTACCTGTGGCTAATTGGAAACAAGGTAAAAAATATCGTAGTGTTCAATAGTTATTTTTCTTAGCGTCACGTAACATAAAAAATGGTTATGATGGAATAAGTAGAAGTAGTCAGTGTTTTATTAAGAATATTGTAAAAACATACAAAACAGAGATTAAAAAAATACACACTACAATAAAATAAATCATATAAACTTTGCACAGTTGATCATAGTGAGTTCAAAAAGAAAAAATAAATACACTTCTACAGTTAAATTATTCATGGTTTCGCACGTTCAAAATTGAGCTATATTAAAAACCATCTTCTCATTGGAACGTCACATTGGCGGCGGGTTCAATAATTCGTGTTGAAGCATGCTTGTAACTCTTTCAACTGATGATGAGCTTTAAGCTTGAAATCAGGATGGTTGAAAACAACAATCTGTGAGTAAGAATTATCTTTTAAAAATTATTCAGAAATCGTGAGATGCGGTCTGGTGTGATGTAGGTTTCAGAAAAACATTTTCCTTATCGTGCCAACGTTTCGATCTTTATTGAGATCATCATCAGGGCTCAAAGTGTTTATCTTCCGTGTAATTTGAGAGTGCCCACCAACACGACACGCAAGAATGGCACAATTACACGGAAGACAAACACTGAGCCCTGATGATGATCTCAATAAAGATCGAAACGTTGGCGATAAAGAAAATGTTTTTTCTGAAACCTACATCACACCAGATCGCATCTCACGATTTCTGAATAATTATTGATTAACGGTCACTAATCACCACACATCTTTTAAAAAGATTAAACATTGTACTCACTCGTCCTTTATCATTTCTATCGATTGTTATCCATGTCATACTTTTGTCCATGTACTTTTATAATATATACGTTTTTTTTTTTATAAAACGAGAAAAAATTAAATCTAATTTCCCATAAAATTGGGCAAAGCCAAATAATGAAAATGATTCTCCAACATATTCAAATTACACAAGAAACAATTAGTTAATTTTCTTCAAATTTCCACATTTTAAAATTTAATTTAAACATTTCAGTTTTTACCTTCATTATTGAACTGAACACTTTCTTGGTAGTGGGCACTCTCAACACGACACACAAGAATGACACAATTACGCAGAAAACAAACACTTTGAGCCCTGAAGATGATCTCAATAAAGATTGAAACGTTGGCCCGATAAAGAAAATGTTTTTCTAAAACCTACATCACACCAGACCGCATCTCACGATCTCCAAATAATCACTGTTGATTTATTTAATACTTCTGTTTCCTCATTAAAATGTCAGTTACTTAAAGCATAATGTTAAAAATATGTATGTAATTATCATGCTTTATTATATTATTTTTATGTTTTTTTGTATAATTCCTAGTCGTTATAATTATGTAGACAGGGTATTTAATTAAATATTTATGTCGTTTTATTTATAAGGGCCTAGAATACTGTCATACATTTCCCCATGTAATTTAATTTTGTGCAAATGATTCCATGGTTAGCCTGGTAATAATGAACAATCCTTCTTTGCCAAAACCACGGATTTTGATGTAAATTAGGGTAAATGGACGTGAAAAAAGGCTACTGTGCAAAACTTTGTTGTCTTGATTCTTTGATGGATCTAGTCTTCTTACAGATAGAATAAATAATGTATTTATTAGAATTCAATACTTTGGCTTCACCTGTGTTGAACAGCTCTAAATTGGAATCTTGGAGGCATTTTTCATACGGGTCATTCAGTGTATCCATTTCCCCCATCTGGAAAACTAACACTAATAATAAATAAATAATTTCTTTTTGAATGAGCATCACGATAGACCACTGCCGATTGATTAGGTGCAATTCACAGGCCTACTAACACTACAATGTTTCACAAATAAATAAGAAATCTATTTATCTGTCTTTCTTTGTAAATGATAAGACTTTTATCTAATGATATTCCAAAAACTGTTCGCTTAAAATTATTCATGATTTTTGACACAATAGCCACCTCTGTTCTTTATAAAAAACACAACTCTAAAAACAAGATTTATCAGAAAAGAAAATGTGATAAAAATCAAGCGATCAAGTCTGTTTTTTAACTGCCTTCGTAATTATGCCTATAACAGTAATAATAATGTAATAAGAGTGTAACATGAGAAGAATATACTCACCTCAAATATTTTCTATTAATAAAACGATTTTCCTTTCATCTAATTCTCTAGAAAAGCCTAAAAAGGAGAGTATTCAACAAAAAAGCAAATATATATTTAAGTTCAACCTCTTTATTTTAAATAAATATAAGTATATTTGCTATCAAGAACTAAAAATACTTCACATATATTAAAATATTAACATTTTTTTATTTTAAAAAACATTTCAATTACAAAGGAAAAAATGATCAATAGAAAAAACTTGAAAAAAGACAAATATTTCTCTCCTAGTATAATAGTAAACTCTGCATTAAAATCACATCAACTAACAATTTTCCTGTATAACAATAATCACAAATTTAATATAAAAAAATTCTCTTTCACATTTTTATATTATCCTCTTTGTTTAGATCAATGTTTCACTCATGCTGTATGCAAATAAATAAAAGAAATGAAAACATTTAATAGTCTTTTCAAAGTATTAACTCTTAAGCCATTATAAGAACGAATATACTTTGAGCAATACTTTTTTTTATAGTAAAAACAAAAAGCACACCTTATGGTAAAACTTCCTATGGCACAATTTAGGCATTAACTGCAGTTAAAAATGTTTACATTAGTTAAATATTATATAAATCTAGGGATCACTGGTTTTTTACAAATCTCTTAAAATAGGAACAAATAATTTAACAACTCTTAACAGCAATAAAACAAAATATATCAAATCTTTCTTAAAAATGTACGGCTTAAAATTAGAAATATATAGCTATATATTATTTAAATATATAATATATATATTATTTAGATATATAATATATAAATAAACAATTTATACAACATATAAATTAATTATTTATATATACATTTAAATATAAAATACACAAAAATCCATTATATTAAACATGCCAAAGAAGTAAATGGTTAGTTGAATCCTCCCGTCCGGCGACTTCTGAAATGCCCGTTGATCGAAAATCTTCGTAACCGTCGCCACCCGATATGACTAGAAGCTTGCTTGAATCTTGCTTTTTGTGGAAAGACGACTTTTTTTTGTGATCAGCCACAGAGCTGAGTGACATATCTATTGTAGTTAAAAACCTAACATGACCGGTGTGACCATGAGGGACGCCTGTTCACAAAAATTAAAGTTTTATTTGATAACATTGATAAATTAGCCAGTATGAAAAAAAGCAATGATTACCGGAGACATTGGGAATGGTAGTCAGTTTAGTAGTTGTTGGGGTTACATGAGGTAGCGGCATCGTAAGAAGCACTCCTGCACTCGTTCCGATCCAGAGCAAATCCTTGCACGCTAAAAGAGCAGTGATACGCAGGCATGCAGATTTATGCTGCCTTATAATATCATCAGAACCTAAACAAGAAACATTTAATATTTTATCATCAATCATAATGAATTGAACGTACTGGCCAGCATTTTTGTTACGGCTGGAGCTACGTTAATTTCTCCAAGCCACTCGTAACTCGCTGCATGGAAAAGCCGAATCGTAGATGAGTTGTGAAGGGATATCCAGACAGACAATCCTGAAACGGTTATCGAAGTAACACTCCTATTGCTTTCTCCGCTTACAACAAAAGAATGCTGAAAAAATATAAAAAAAATAAAATATATTGCAAAAAATAAGGTGAACAATCTGAAATGAACTTTTACAAATTTTGATATTTTGTCAATTCCAAACATGAATAAAAATAATTTTGAACTACTTTACTGCAGAAAATCAAATGGCACAACATTTGTCTATATTGAACAGTAGATTTTGTAATTATAGGCTTTGCTTTTCGCTTGGGCCGCTTTTTGGCCCCACAAAGGTGGTTGATTGTTAAGAAAAAAGAGCAGGACTCTGACATGAAAAAGTCTGGAGAAGTTACTTTGGACATTTTTGGAAATGAAATATTGTCCAACAAAGTATGGGGCTGAAAAATCAAGAATAGGAAAAATAAGAGGTTCGAGGTATGACAGCCAGACACTACGAAGATAAAATAAAATGATTGAATTGTACATTTTTATTGAACATTGTAAATATTATAGCTATCAGCAATTATAGCATAAAACAAGAATAAAAGCAGAATAAAATCCCGTGGTCAAAGAACTAATAAGCAATGATGACCGTTGAGAAATATTAAAATTGGTATTTGTTAAACAAAAATTCAATCGTATGATCAAACTTTTTAGTTTATGAAATTTAAAATAAATTTTATTTGATAAAAACATTTTCAAATTAGAAATGACAACTAAATGATTCAAGCTGACTCAATTAATGCCAAGTAAGCAAAAGGAAATATTTTTTCACAGGAAAAATACACCAAACTCTAAAAACTAGTCTGCATAATTATGATAAACCTAGAAGAAAGTGAAAGTTAAATCATCATGGTAATACGACAACAAAATTACCTCGACTGTCAGAGATGATATATTTAGTATTTTTATCGATGTACTGCAGCTGCACCAAAGTCGTCCATTGATTGGAGTCATTTTTTTAACAGGTACTGTAGTCGAACCAACTGAGACTACGACAGGATCACTTGTGTTCCAATTTCCATCTAGAACAAGCAAACAAAAATTTAAATTCGACATAAAAATTTATATAATTCTATAATCCTCACTAGCTTCCCGGAAGTAAACTGTAACATCTCCATTTGCCAAAGCAACAAAAACCATGTTTTCCAAATATCTGAAATCAGTTTAAAAAAATTATATTAAGTGTGTAAAAGGAGAGAAAGATATAAATTTACATTATGTTTTGAACAGAAGCATTGTGTTGTATTTTCACTTTGTTTTTCTTTGTCCGTATGTTATCTGTGCAGTTATACACATGTATGTAACCATCTTCAGTACCGAGCCACATTGTTCCTGTGAGCGTATCTTCGCTGACCTGGGGTTCATTTTCATCTTCTCTTTCTTCATCCTCGCTCGATGAACTACTGCTAATAAATTTTTTACATTATTACAATTTTCTTTTAAACGTTATTCTTTAAGTCTACCTATCAAGGTGGATGTTTGGAGATTTATCGGCATCTTCGACAGAAATGCTTATACCACTGTTACAATTGATGCATGAAGTACTCTCATTTGAAAGCCTATCAATAATAAAATATTTTTAAAAAATAGCTAAATTTTCAACATTGAAAAAACACACCCTGGGACGGGGGCTATACAGAGTATCCTGGCATTGCAAACACCATTGCAAGAAGTCACTGTGGGCTCGGGGTGTAAGGACAGAATGCAGACTTGGCCGACATAGCCGTCACTGTTGCAAACCCAAACGTCCCTGGGCCCTGGACCATGAGTGGGCGCCGCACAGGTGAATTGAAGACCGGCGCGTGTCTTTCTAATCGGCACTGCTGATACGAGTTCTGGCATGGCTCGTCTCTCGCCAGTGAGAGCTGTGAATTTTGATCACTGTAAATCTGAATCTTTATTTTTAAACAAACTTTGTCACTTAATTCCACTGTGTTTGTGTTGAAATGTTAAATCAGAAAGCGTTACAATAGTCTTAAAATAATCACCTAGCCTTTGCTTTGCTCCGTTGAATGTTTCTTCCCATATCGTCCTTTTCTCCGGTTTGGAAAATATCAACGCTATGTTTTCCATCCCACTGCTGTCAAATGAACGAATTAGCACAGTAACACATGAGGTTTTTTGAAAAACTTACTGTGTATTAATGGTCAATTCCAAATATGATAATTGCGAGTCTGCTGCATGCCTTTCAGTCAGCTGCTTGTTCAAGGCAGAAAGCATTTCTCTAACATTTTCCTCGAGCTGTGAATGCGGGCAATGGAGTGTGGTTACAAGTTCTGCCATCTGCGATAGGGTAGAGACGTCTGAATTGAGCTGCTCCATTTCTTTAAGCATTTTTCTAACAGTGTCATCTAAAATCGTGAATGAATTACAAAAGAACCCCTTAATGAAGATTAAACAGTAAACAAACCTTTGACTATTTCTAGATCATCTAAAGGTATTTTCATTAATAATTTAAATTTATTCCCTTCTAACGTGTTAACTACACTGCCAGGCATACTTCTGAAAAAGAAATTCCAACGATATCATATATTTTTTAAATTTAATTTTCTCCGAAACTTACTGAGGCGTTTTTCTTATTGTACCACTTCTTCGTTTGATACTTGTTATTACCAGAAGGTCGTTGAAAAGGAAGAGAGCTCGATCTTTTCTACCCTGAGATGTTGTAATACTGACTTGGTCGTGGCAAAGGAATGTTCTTTCTGGAGTGCTCAGGCCAGCTAAGCCTTCAATTATCGATTCCAACAATGACAACTCTTGACAGTTAGACGTCCTCGGATTGAGAGTTTTATGCTGACCGAGATTAATAGTCACGGCTAGCTCATGAATAGCCTGTTGTGCATTAACTAATATGCTTGCATCACCATGTGATGGTTCAGTGTGTTTTAATAATGTCTAAAAAACAGTTATGCTCATGTTTAATGTTCTTTGTTATTAAATATACTTTTAAGTACCTGAATAAGCAATTCGTATCGAGGAATTCTTTGAACAGGCATTATTAAAAGTGAATCTAAAGCCAGTTTACCTTTATGCTCCCTTGCCATTGTCTGTAAAATTTTAAATCTATAACATTGTTATTTTGCGTTATGAAATATTACTTTGTTTACCTCAAGGAATCTGGCAAAGGCAGGCTTCGATTGGCTATTTGTTTTAATGGCCTCTTTGGCATTTTCCCAATTATTAATAAAATTAGTATAAGATTCTATCACAGACTGTTTGGTGAACTAAATAAACAAAGTCCAAAATTATAGCTATAAAGACGATCTGATTTGGAAAAAGAGGGTGAAAAAATTTGCTTACAGTATCTAGGAAAACATCCCCAACTTTTTGACTGAGATCCCAGTTTTCTAAACGTTTTCTTAGCTCTTCCAAAAACGCTTCATGATGAGCAAGAATTTCTGGAATCTACAATAAACAACAAATTTTAAAAATACAAAGAATAGTTTCATATGACTTAGTATGATGAAGGGTTACTACCTGATAAAAAATTTCATCTACTATACCAACATCTATTATCGTATTGTCAGGACATTTCAGTGGCTGCAAATATTTCTATAAAATTATATATAAATTATTACTTTTTTATTTATTATTTTTAATTTAATAACAATTAAAAGAAATATTATTGCTAACCAAGACTAGAGTTTGCAGTGATTCAACATAGGAACGCTCAGTTTCGTATAATTCCACTACCACCAGCGTCCTGGTGTCCTAAAAAAATATAAAAAACACATTAACAATTAATTATTTTTAATATATAATTTGAAACATTAACCTAACTTTTTATTAATGATTTTAATTATATTAAAATTAATCGATAAATATGGTTTGTGTTGAAAATGTGTACAATTGTAATAAATGTAAAGCTAATCCAGAAGTGTATTTTCTTTGTGTTTAAGTATAACCACCTACCACGGGTTGTGATGATGTGTCTTGTTCAACTTCCTTCAGTGTCGGTTCGCTTAATCTTAGGCGAAGGACTTCCCGTATTGCAGGACTGTTAGAGTTACTCATTTAGTTAACTATAAACCGTCTTCATCTGAAAATTTATTGTTACATAAAAGGCCTATAATTTTAATAACTATTTCAACGAATAAGCAGCAAATTGTAAAAGTAGTATGAAAAAAGGTTGATTTACAGCAATTTTGGGGTTGTGGGTTAATTAAACCAACTGGCTAAAATAAAAAGTATAGGCTATAATTTTAGGGCAACAAATTAAAATTACTGAAACAGTTTAGATAAAGTAAAAATATATTTTTTAAAATTGTAAATTACTACTTGTCCAGCTATAATTATAATGTGAATTCTAAATTTCTAACTGGAATGATAAGAATTGTAATAATAACAAGAACTAAAGGGTTATAGCATTTTTAGGGTATTTCTAACTAGAAATTAATATGATTCATCAGTGCTGATCTACCTTCCATTATTGGACAGTTCTTCCCTTTCAAATAAGACTTCTTAAAATGAGAAAATGCGCACACAAAAGAAATAAATAATTCCTATTGTAGAGGAAAGCTTAACATCAAACTACCCATTGGATGTTTTGGACGAGGGGTCAAACCAATTTACATTACCTTTTACTTATTATTATCAATTGAAATTCCATGGATTGTCACATCACTGGCGTTCAAAGAGTTTATATGAGAAAGTTTGAGTACATATATACTATTTTTATTATTTTTATTGTTATAACACCACTAGTATGCTACTAGCAACATTGTTGTCTTAAAAAAAATTGAATTTTATATATATAAAAGTTGAGAATTTATCCATTAATTACATTTCTATCACAGTACTATTAGGGGGGAAATCAAGAGACCATAAGTGCTTTAGCCGTCTTAGAGGATTATCGGGAAGGGTTCGGGATGAAAGGTGGTAAACTAGGTTTGGGATGAAGGTCCAGGCGTCTTTTTGATGATTTTAGGACAAATGGGATTTGGAGGTCTGTGTGGATAGGAAAGGTGGATACGAGTAGGGAGCTTGGGTAATCGTTTGAAGGATTTTGGACTAGATCATTTGGCCATTAGAACGCTTGGTTGAACCCAAAGTTTGATTCTACTCTAGTCAAAATAACAATATAAGACATAACTAAAGAAAAAATAATAAACACCCATAATAATGCAGAGTTCGTGGAAGACATTGGTTGCTTGGAAAGGAGCAGACTTGTAGTATTATGTGAAAAGAAGTTTCGCTGAAAGATGAAAGTTATTTGCTGGAATTTGTTGAGTCTGATCCTCCATTTCTTGAACCATTTTTTCAAAGAGAAGATGGTTCTGGAGGTTTCTAGAAGTCACTATTGGGCCTCCTGTTGGTGAAAGAATAATGGTATCATACAGTATGTGGAACTGTAGGAGGATTGATAGGAATGTCTACAGTGTCTAAATAGAGAATAGGATCAATGATGCTGCCTTGTGGAACACCCACTTTGGTATAGTGGATACCTTCAGACAGGAATAAGTTAATGGTAGGATTTCCTTTAATTTCCAGAGCTTGCTCAGATACTGCCTCAATTGAAGACTCACCTTACAGCTGAGAAACACCCTGAGCAGCATTCTGTTCACTCATGGGAGTATGAAATGTTTACCACTGTTGAATGGTAGAGATATCGGTTGGGGGGGGGGTTGTTAGGATGATGGTGATACTGAAAATGTCAGTATCGATTTCTTCCTGTTTCAAGGAGAAATGTGTTTTGGAGGTCGAGGTACGAAGTAGAGAGGTTGAGCAATGGCTTGAAGGATTTAGGACTGGAGTAACTGGATTCTTGGGAGGTTGGAACACTTAGTTGAACCACGTGGTTTCAACTCAGTACTCAAGATAAAGAAATAAATAATACACACACATAATAATGCACTGTTCTAAATAATACTGAACCATTTGTAAGGTCAAAGCCAATTAGGCACATATTCTATGATCTTTATTCTATTATCTTTCAAAACTTAAACCAAGAAAAAAGACAAACTTGACTAATGAACTCTTGATGGCATATGTAACCAGTTAATGAATTGATTCAAATAATATAAATCAATTGACAAGGCCAGCCAGAATTGTACAATAATAACAAAAGATTTTAAGGCCCTTTGAAGAGACGTGGTTTATGGGAACTCATGGAAATCGAGAGGAGTTTCTTCAGCATCTCCCAAGGCGTAAACGTTTCGTTTAAAAATAATCGAGTTATCCGAAACTAATTTACTGCCAAAATCTATTTTCTTGAAAATTTGCCCTTCGGTTGGTTAGAACATCTTGGCTGTAGAGAGAAATCCATCGGCCAAAATAAATAACAGGCGTCGGAAGTCGAAATCAAGTTTTTCTGACTTCGGACTTGGGTGCCCCTTCACCACGGGTTCAAAAGCGAAAAATTCCATGCCAATAATCGCGTTAGCAAAACAGCATATAGCATCACTGGGGGGGGGGGAGAAGCTATTAAAATTCTTGCCAGAAAGCCAGAGATCGTCTATAAAAAAACGCCAAACAAGGGTTTTATAAAGAAACATAAAATTAAGCCTATAAAACTTGCGTTAGTAGTTTAATTTTAAACATTAATTTTAATTTAATATCCCTAGTTGGCGGAAGATATTCACAGAATATATTTTGCAAAATTATTGGTCGTTAAGACATTCTTCCAGGCTGCTATGATGATTTATATTTTATTTACGTTTTATCTTTAATCATCTATACTCATTAATGGTTCACATAAAGAAATGTGTAAATAATTTCTGAACGTGCAAAACGTACAGTGTTTAATAACCAAGACATGGTCGAATAGTTTACGTTCTACTTTAAGCATCATTTCATACGTAATTACTATTTATTTTGCTCCTTAATGCTGTTTTAATTTTAGAAAGGAAAATTGCCTATTAAAAAAAATCCGGACTTTAATGTGCTGTGTGCCGGAAGTGTTTGGGGCCAATTTTAGAAGCGATTCTGTAATTGGAATGCACTCAATGCCTTCATGGGACGCTCGTTAATCCGAAGAAATGTAAAATGCCACATTTACTCATGATTCTTAATACATTAAAACCGCCTGGATTCTGATACTTTTCTTAAAAGGTTAGTTCTTGTCGTGATTTGGAGAGAGTATAAAATGGATTTGGCATAGCGATAAAGTTGGACGGTGATGAAGGGAAAAGCCAAGGAAACTCGCTAACTTCTGTTGACTTTGCCCAAAGCAGTAAAGATTCGCTTTTGGATTTATTGCTGGAAAGTTACAGGTAAATAAACCCCTTCTGGCGAAGAAACGGCCGATTCCAACAAATTTTGAATCGACACTACATTAAAAAGTTTGCCAACGATTTTTATATTATTATCTGTAATTGGACCTTTTTTATTTAATAAGACGATTTCAGGTGTACACTTTGATTCTTGGACTGAAATGTCCAAATGATCAGTGGCAAACCTAAAATCAAGCTAAAAAAAGTCATTAATACTTGTGTCATAGAAAATTTTAAAAAAGTATACAAGTTCAGACAGTCAAGCAAAAAGGTCACACCCAAACAGCCAGTAAATCCAAACCTCCAAAACATGGGAAAACAACTGCCTAACTGTTTCTTGGATGCCAAGGCACAAATGAATTTTGGGCAATGAACAAGCAGATAAACATACCATGATCAAACATAGAACTCACAAAACAAAAGGAGAAAGGACGAATTCCAGGATCGAATCAATGTATGTAAATAGGAGTAAAAGGGCCGAATTATACCATAGCAAAACTTTTGGATTAATCCTAACAATCTTCAAGTTGAGGTTCCTGCAATCCAATTTCATGCAAAAGAATTGATAAAGAAAAAAATGAAATATGCATAGATCTAAATACATTTGGACAGTCAGGCAGCTTTAAAAAAATCAAATGCGAATATTTTAAGCTCCGTATTAGTCAGGGGACGCCTAAATTGCCTAATGGTTCTAGGAAAACACAGATTACTTTAAAGTGGGTTCCGGGACATGCAGGTATAGTAGGTATAGGAGAAAATGAATGGGCTGACCAAATAGCCATAAAAGGATCAGCCCTCTCATCCATGGGACCAGAACCACTTGTTCCACCGGAGAGTGTGCTGTAGTTGGAACTAGAAAAATGGTTTAAGAAAGAAAAACTCAAGCACTCGGTAAAAACACCAGGTATGAGGCCTAGCTAAGAGATTTATACGTCTCAAAGGAAGGCGAAGGAACTCCTCTCCCGGCAGGCAGGACTAAGGAAATTTATAGGTCTCTATACCGGCTACTGCCTTCTTATACCTAAAGATGGGCAAAGCGTAGATAGAAACATGTCGACTGTCAGGAGAAACCAGAGACATTGGCTCCTTTGTTATTGTAAAGCATTAGCCCGGATACGGTACGACCATTTCGGCAATTCAATTCTACACCAAAAGAGGTGCGCGAAGAAAGTGTCTTATAGAAAATTCCAAAGTATGGTTATTATTTATAAAGCTTGTACAATAGATTTATAAAGGTCGCAGTGGAGAAAAAGTTTTGCCTCCTCCCATAAAAAAAGAACCAGGGAAAGTAAAAAAGTCATAAACTGCAGTGCTTGGGAATACTAAACTTAAGCTTCTTATATAATCACCATCAGTACGTTCCGAAAATAAAAGACTGTGACTTTTAGTCATTCCCAAAGTACATATTACACTAATAAAGTTGTTTGAAACAAAGATCTTTGTGGTGAAGTATGCCATTATCTTTACAGTATGTAAAATATTTAGTTCGCATGTACAGCG